GGAGAGTAAGGAATTAAGGAGGACTAGGAGGACAAGTGTAATATAAGGCAGGGATATCTTGGAGAAGATGAGGAGGCGACTAAAAGCAAAATAGTCAGATTTTCTCCGGTGAGAGAGGAAAAGGTAGAATACTAATAGCAGTTGGTGGTCATGAATCGTTAGTTAGTCTTTCTGGTTCCTGAGGACATCAACCGCGGTCGGCGAATAAATCAGAACATCTTCCAGATTAGGTAACCGTCCCATGGCGTCACCATTTCTCGATCCATGAGTGTCCATCATCTTCTCTCTCTCTCCCCTTCTCCCTAATTACAAATTTTTCCCTGGAGCGTGAAAGAAACTAGGACCGAAGAAGAAAAGGAAAGGGAGAAGCCAAAAGTATAATAAGACATTGTATGTTGTATTTTATCTTTATTTTATCTTTTCCTGTTGAGGTCGCGATATGAAAACTTAAAATTCAGGTGTTCATCTGCGCATAGTGCAGGGATATATTTATATTTACCTAGTGATATACTTCCTATAGTATAAGCCTCTCCACCCCCTTCTACTTAATTCTAAACACCAGTTAGAAAATATGGCATTACTCCGTTTATTCTTAACCCGGTTCTTTGCCTACCTAAACCGTTGGTATTTGCTTTCGAAAGGACATATTCCTATCTAGATTGAGGAGGGCGTGCGTCAAGTATTGTACCGTATAGGTACTCTGTATTCCATACCCCCACCATCGGCCTTATACGGCGGATCATCACGAACACTTGCAGCAAGCGGAGGACCCTAGGGACAATGGACTAGTACCTCCAGTATGGTGGCACTATTGGCTCAAGAAGTTCAGTTGGTTCAAGGTTGAAAAGACGTTCTACCGAATTGAGCTAGTTACATATCGGCCAAACTTCTCCAAAACACACCACCCTTGCTAACCTGCTACAGCCTACTACCCCACTTCCCAGACCGTTAACGAAGATCTTATTCCCTTACCTTTTGCTTATCTTATATATTTTATCATCAATATTACTTATATCGCCATTCATATTTTCTCCTCTTTTTCGTTTCTCCTTTCTTGAGCCACATTGAGCCGTAGTGATTAGCAGGAAATGTTGCCTGCAGCAAATGGCCCCATGCATCCTCTATCACTAAGGCCTAGTACTAGTAGTGTTGACGCTAAAAGGACACTCCACCTGCAGCAGGAAGGTAGCTGCGAAGAGAGCGTTTTCCCAGCCATTGCGATGATCTCATTAGGCTCATCCTCAAATTCTCAATGGGGCAATCATAACCTGGGATTGAGTCTGGGATGCTGACAAGCGGCGTGCGGCGTGGAATAGCTGGTTTGGATTGGCCTTTAAACTGCTAACATGCATAAAGCTAACGTATGAGCACCTTCCCTACTTACTCTCTCTGGAACTGACTGCGTACAGGGCGGGTCACATGCAGCCGTACATATCATGCTACTCAACACATCATAGGTGGGCGCTCATGGAAAACTTATCCTCGTGCAGGGGTTGACTAGGAAATGTCGGATTGTCCTTGCTTTCCTTTTTCTTTTCGCAGTGTACCTTGACCAGTCTAGAACGGCTGAGTCTGACCCACCCAATATCTACTATTATCGAGCCAGATTCCAAACACAACTTGAGGCGAATTTAGCAGATGATTCCGTTGAGAACGGCACCGCACGATAGCATGAGCAGAATCAGGCGATTCTTTTTGCTTTTTTGCTTTTTTGCTTTTTTATTTTTTTTTTCTTTTTTCGTTTTTCATTTTTTTTTTATTTTCACTCTAGTTGTTTGGAATACCACATGACCGGTACAAGATTCCCGAGTTAACAACTTGGCATTTGACACGATGGCGTTCTAGGAGGACGTCGTATGGTGGTAGATCGGAATTTGGGAAGTTGGTCTCGAAGCTGGACTTGTTCGCTCAACACGCTCTAATAGCTTCCGAAGATACAGCCGTGCCTGTGATATGAAGAGCGACTAGATGACCTTGGATCTCTGATCAACGCTGACTTCGAAGCTAAAGCGATGGACGAAGATACTACTGGTTTAATTGATGACCATTCTTCTAGTACTCCGGCCCCGATGTTGTGCCCAAGTCCTGTTTAATGGAAGCACACAGTGTTGCGTTTGAACCGCTCATGTCTAGGTATTGTCGCTTAAATCCTCGGCGGGGTACAGGTACAGCATTCTGAGTGCCTCTCGGCCCGAAAATAGGATATCCGCTCGGTTTATAAAGAAAAAGCCTATGTAGGCTGTCCTTCCGCAACTTAGATCCAATGCTTGGGCACTGCCTCGTCTCGCTGTACAATCGCCGGACTATCCTAGATATTGCCAGCCACAAACATTGAGACAATACGCTTCTCCAACAGCTTGCGAGGAAATGGCGTATGCTTTCGTGCTGTGACCACCGAAGACCGATGTGCGGTGAAGTAACGGGTTCTGGAGAAATGCCTGTCTTAACCTTGACCTCCATGTCAAGGTTGGCGTTGCTCTCGTGCAAGCATTAATGCGGGTTCAAGTATCACAGGAGCTTCGCACAGCTTGAGTGGTTGGACTCTTCATGTTCAGAAAATATAGTCGATAATGGCCTGCACTCAGAAAAACCTGGAAAGTATAACGATGGGTAGTGACTAAAAGGATAAATCCACATGATTTTGACTGAGTCGCTTTCTGATGAAGTTTTGGACACCTCGGCAACAGGAGGTTTACTACAATGTCTGTCACTCCACATTCCCATTGACACTACGACAAGAACGAATCCCCAAGAGTCCAGAACACGTAAACCACACAATATTTTCAAAAAGGCAGCGGAAATCCCGTTAAAGTGTGCATAATAGCTGGTGCAAGACGGAGGCATTCAAGCCTTTGCCTTTTCAAAGGAAGGATTTTTGTTTGCCTCAAACTTGTAGCAGAATACATCCGTACTTGACATCCTACTTGATGGAACACACAGCATCCAATGGAGTGTCCTGCACACGTGGATAGATAGTCATAATTCTTTTGGGGTACTTGAGTTGGTTCACTGTCGCGAAATGCTTGACAAGCCTTTGCGTGTTAGGCTCATCTGCTCCACCTCGGTGGCGAACGAGGAACCGAACAGCGCCGTCGACAGGAAACGTGCTGGCTTGGCTTTCCCCCGGCAGCTTGGAAGACAAGGCCCGCTTCAGCCTGACCTTGGGCACCGTTGATGACAGTGTTTAGCCTGGGGTGCGCAGCTGATACCTCAAACGAGGATGGCCAGCTGTAAGACCTCGATGAGATGGGAATGGAGGCAGAGAAGCCAGAGGTTGTTGTGAACCGCAGTCAAATGTCGAGTATAGTCTCTAGAGCCCTTTACTTGAGCACCCTAGGAGTCTTGCAAAGTACCTAGTCTTATCTCTACGTGCAGGCTCACAGGAAGCAGAAGGGATGTGGGAATAGGGGTGTGGTAATATATCACATTGTAGGAACATATTTCAGCTCCATACCCTCCCATCCTGTCCCATTGATCACCATGCGATGGAAATAGCGCCTGCATATGGCGATAGCCGAATATCGACTTGAAACTTGTTGACATAGGGAGGATATTGAAAGATATGAGCCTACTGGGGACAGAGTGCTCATTGCGTGATCGACTTTGTGGTCTGCTCACCTGCACGCCATAGCTTTTCTATGCAAGAATGATCATCGCTGCAAGTATTGGAATACCTTCGTCCGATATTACTTAGGTACTGCTCAGAGACATCCATGAGCCGCTTCACATGGCCATCTGATGATATAACCAGAGGACATTGAGGCTCGCCTGAGTGAGAGAGGCGAGTATTTGAATGCAAGACCGTTTCACGGGTGATCTTTCCTTGAATCATATATCCCACAGGAGATAGACAGCTGTCCCCTTTTATCAACCAGATACGCACGCATTTTTCTCGTCCACAAATGGCTTCGATGACATTCCTCAGTTTCTACCCAGGTTCCACTTGCACAGCCGCTGTCAAGGTCAAGGCTTCCACTGTCATCCTGACTTTATCTTCTGGACATAATTTGTTCTCCTATTGAGCTATATCAATCAGCTATGGCCTGCGATTAGCGACCATAGGCGGCCGCATTGATGCTCTATTTTTGCTCATTTATATCCATGCATATCTGTTGTCAAATACACTTCGTACAGTTTCCGCCCAAAATGCTCAGTGTTGGGGTGTGTGTTGATTTGGTACTCATCAACCTTCGATAGGCATGGTTCATACTCATACTGCTTGGGTCGGCTCCATAATATCGGGGTATGCTTTTTAACATCGAACCATTATGGCGATGCCGATGCCTGTAATGACGGGGATCCATCATCCAAAATTTGCTCTATTGTATGACAAGCTGTCGCTTGAGTAGGGCATGCTAATAGCAAGAACACAAAGAGCTAAAAATATAAACGTGCCAAGGTATCGGCGAAGTAATTTCCGGGTCAGGTCATCAAGGCAAGAGTGGCGTTTCCAACTCATTTGGCAGTTAGGTGACTGACTGAATTATTTTCACCAGCGCCGTTCTCAACTCTGACCGAGGGCCTCCATGCAAACCATTTTGGATGGCGCCCAGGGCTACAAAACTAGAACCGCCTTCAGGATGGGAACAAGTGAGAGCTAACCATGAGACTTGTTAGGTTAACGGTGAGCTTTATGTATGTTCTTCTTTGTTGATTGATGGGTATCAGATTAGATTGATAAAGCGGGTCCCACTCAGGGCCCGAAATGCGGCTTGGCGGGCCTTCCCGACCAATGCCTGTGAGCAAAATACGAGCTCATCCCATGCCACGCCTTCGGAACCGAACATTCTTGGTGTCTTTTGAGGCAATTCTCCCTGTCCCAGCCGCTCTAGAACTCTACAATCCTAGGCAATGTCTTGGTCATGCCGAGATCATTTCGAGACTATGACCCAAGAAAGAGCCTGTACAGAGGCTTTGTCAGATATGATTGGCTCCCCGTGTTTTCATGAGAATTTTTTTTTTTTTTTTGTCACGTTCAGACATCGCTTGTATTTTTTTTCCTATTCTTTCTTAATGCTCCCCCTCCCCCTTTTACCTCATAAGAAAGTCTTAACGACGCTTTCTCCTCGTCCTCTGATCTCGCATACTGATAGCGACGAGGGCAGTGCAAAATGTCCGCCGAAAAGAATCCACGATTTCAACATGCTGCCCAACCTCAGGAACTTCAGGAGGAAGCGGACTTTAAAAACCCAGGTGTCAAGCGCATCGCAGCTATCTCGTCGCAACTGGGCGTTGTAGCTCGGGTGTTTTTGTTCTTCGGGATCTTTCTGGTAGCCTATGTCTATGGTTTGGATGGACAGCTGCGAGGGACTTATCAGGTATTTTTCCTGCCGTGATACTCGTTTTCATTTGATAAGGAACTAATTTCAGCAGCCTTTGGCAACCAGTGCCTATGCCAAACACAGTTTGCTTACTACGATCAATGTTTTACGTAGCGTCATTGCAGCTGCCGCACAGCCAACAGCCGCGAAAATCGCCGATGTGTTCGGGAGAGTTGAGTTGATCTTGCTCTCGGTTTTCTTCTACACTATCGGTAAGGATTGCCTGTGCATCGGATACCGAACACTGCTGACATACTCAGGGACTATCGTGGAGGCCTGCGCCGACAATGTCCAGACTTTCTGCGCGGGTGCTGTTCTATACCAGGTACCTTATTCTTTTTGCGTGTTTTTTACCATAAACTCTGACCGGAACTTTGTCTTTAGGTCGGATATACGACTATTATTCTCCTGGTCGAAGTTCTAGTAGGAGATCTGACTTCCCTTCGATCCCGTCTGCTCTTTTCCTATATCCCTGCGACCCCTTTCATTATCAATACCTGGGTTAGTGGCAACGTTGCCGATGCCGTGTTGGGGGTCACTAGCTGGCGCTGGGGCATTGCGATGTTCGCAATCATATTTCCTGGTAGGTAGACACCTTGCAAAATTGGGATCTTCTCTGATTCATATCAGTTTGCTCCATCCCTCTTTTTGTGACGCTGCTTTTTGGACACCACAAAGCCAAAAAAGCCAGTGCTGAGACATATACGCATCCTATTCGGCTTCTCGGTGCAAAGAAATTCGCTAAAGAATTATTTTGGTACCTGGATGTGATGGGCATCCTGCTTCTGATTGCTTTCTTGGCTCTGATTCTTGTGCCATTCACAATTGCTGGTGCTGCGGCCGAGCAATGGAAGACTGCGAAGATCTTGGCACCGCTGATTATAGGTCTATTCTGTCTGCCACTCTTTGTCATTTGGGAGCGTTCTTATGCTCGGTATCCCATGGTTCCCTTCAAAGTAAGCGGTTGAGAGCTTGTATTTCGAGCGGTGACTGATAAGGCGTAGCTGCTCAAAGATCGCGCGGTTTGGGGTGCCCTCGGCATAGCAACAATGCTCAACTTAGGTATGTCGATTTGAGCCTGGTGTCTAGACACTATACTAATAACATTGTAGCTTGGTCGTTGCAGGGCACATACTTATATACCGTGTTGCAAGTCGCGTTTGACCAAAGTGTTCTCAGTGCAACACGTATCTCGTCTCTATACAGGTTTGCTATAGCCACGAAGTATTCCTTTTGAGTCTCTCTGACATTACTAGCTTTGCATCTGTTATAACTGGATGCATACTCGGGGCGATTATTATCAAAGTGAAACAACTCAAGCCTTTCATAGTTGCCGGAACTGTTCTTTTCGCGGTGGCTTTCGGCATTCTCATACAGTTCCGTGGAGGAACAAGTAGCTCAAGCTACTCTGGTATTATCGGCGGAGAGATACTTCTGGGTATTGGTGCGTTGTACAATGGCTACGATGGTTGGCTCAAACTGATTTGTGTTGTCAGCTGGTGGCATGTTCCCATACCCGGCCCAAGCAAGTATACAGGCTGCAACGAAACACGAGCGTGAGTACATCCCTCTCAATTGAACGATCTAGTCTAAGCATTGCAGATCTTGCTGTGATCACTGGTTTGTACCTGGCAATGTACAACATCGGAAGCGCAATCGGAGGTACAATTTCTGGCGCTATATGGAGACAGAGGATGGGTAAGGAGCTCACCAAGCATCTTGGTAGTGCAAATGAGACTCTCACCGATCTGGCTTTTGGGAGCCCTTTTGACTTTATCGTTTCGTATCCTGCCGGAACACCTGAACGCGAAGCTGTAACTCTAGCATACAGAGAGGTCCAGCGTCTCCTTTGCATTACCGGTATATGCCTGACGGTGCCTCTTATCGTCTTTGCTCTTTGCATTCGCAACCCAAGATTGACGAAAGATCAAAGTCTTCCCGATGCCGAACGGGAGGAATAGTGCCGCTCCCCAGCCTTGCTTGCATAGCAGGGTGGGATATTGACGATTCTGTGCCAGAGCCAACCTCGACTCGGAAGCTTTATTCCTCTCCGCTAATTTGTGCTCTGCGAACGATAGGAAGGCCAGCACATTTGCGATCGTCAACCTAATTGTGCTAATACTTCGTTAATGTTTGTATACTCTGGCTAATACCTATACATTCCAGCGTACCTTAGATGCCTTCAGCGAAAGCCTAGGGCCTTTATATGAAGATGTACTATCATACAGAATATAGTCTGATATTCTGTTGATAGTTCTGGAATGTGAACTAATACTCAATGCATCTTGCTTCGTCCGTAGACAAACGTTCACTTTATCTTGCACGCAGGTCGCCTTGCCTTTCCTTCTGTTCTCAGACTGTCTAAGCTCCCTACTGGTGAAGAACAAGGCGGACCTAAAAGCGAAGTTCCATACTTCACGTGTGCGGGATCAGGTGATATTTCCTGTTCACTGTTCGTATCTAGCAAACGTCAAACTACTCCATGCTAGGCCGAGAGGCATCATGGGCTATTTAGAACCTACAGCGGTCAATACTTAATATAATGATTTGAAGGGGCATTTCTTTCTCACCATCAAGTGGAGCTCAAGTCTTGTCAGACCACTCCTTACTGTCCCACAAACTCGGCATCAATCCAGAGTCTATGCACTCATACATAACTCAGCTCCTCAAAATCCTAGCTAAAACCTGTGAGATAGCCTCGGACAAGCCGCCAATACAAGCCATGATTGAAAATGCCGCATTAAAGCGCCCCCCGTGCGATATCCCCTAGGAGCCTATTGTGCCTCACTAGTAAATGCCTCTTTGCTAACTTTATTTCTCAGTTAGTCTGTTCTCACTTCCTGTATAGAGGACTATTAAAAACGTTGCAACGCTAATAACCTTGTTATGTGGAGCAAATGGAAGGCTGTTCTGGAAAGCCCAGAAAACTTCCACCAATAGTCCACAACATGAATGAATAGTTCTATGGAGTACGTAGGCGGTCTAAGCTTGGTATACCTTGTTTCGCCGGCTCGGCCGGGGCCGACATTCAGACCGAGGAAACATGATTAGCATAAAAATATCTTGGCTGGGGCTGATTATGACATGTCCATTGCCACTGTGCTATTCAACCCACTTCTTGTGATGATCGGAGTGGATAAGAAGCCTTTCTGAGGTCAGTTATTTGCCATACTCTGTGACCTAGTTGCTAACTGTTGCGTAGTTAAAGCTACTATTTCTTCTCGAGTGAAGCTCCTTCACCTGATGACATTACAGAAATCGAAGCATGAGTTTTAGGTATAAACGATTCGTTTGCGAATACCAAAGATCTGCGACCAGCTGGTATATGGCTTGGATATATGGGGAGCAAATGAGTTTCAGACTCTACTAGTGCATCTATTAAGACAACTCTGAGTTGTGATTTGAGCGATGCAGAGTATTGTGGTCGATATTATCAGGTCAATATTACTATAGATTGACCTGCATACTGAGGAAGGACGTCGAACACAAACAGCCTTCTTTGAACCTTGATGCTAGCAAATATCGCACAGATTATATGGACTCATTACTCTAGTACCTTCGCGAAGTGGATACGACACGTCAGACGGAAGAGCAGTACGGAGGACGGGATAGATGAGAAGGAAACCATTAAGCCAAGGCGTCGGATGGTGCGCTCCCAGGGGTTGAGGCAATACCTCCTTTGGTTTGCCGCTCTTTCTGCCATATGATGTCTAGTGATAGCATGCGGAGCTCAGGACCATACTCCACAGGCTAGCGGAATCTAAAGTCTTCTGGACATGATAACTGGCCGCAGCGGCACTGCGCCTTCGCGCTCCACCTGATTTCGGCACACGCCAGGGGTCTCCGCAAATATGACTGAAGAAATGGCTTCAACCACAAGTGAAGAATGCTGCTTACCCAAGTAGTTCTTCCGCCCGTTATGATTCAGCTACCGTTTGCACAGGATGACAATTCTCCGAAGTAATGGCTCTAAATTGGCACATTTGAAGAACCAATTAGGAGCCATATTTCAAGGATATTGACAGTTTGTTACGCCAGGATTTACAAACTAAAAATCGTGCGTATAATGAATCTTCTTGCGGACCTCTCGGCTCCAAAATGGAATCCTACATCCGGATAGTCCAATGTGGTCGTATCAACTTAAGGGTGAATATTTCAATTGTCTCCAATGAGTTGTATTTTCCACTGTGAAGCTTACGTTGGAAATTGACGACTAAACAAAGCTCCAGATTCTGCAGGACATGACTCTTGTCCCTTGGTACGATCTGCGAAACACTGTATCTGTTGCATTCGGGACCCATTGCTGTGACGAGAAGGGTGTGACTTGCAATTCAACTTCCAAATGGAGAAAGCCAAATGTAGGGTTGTTGCCGATCGCTATGGGACGGCATACGTATTCCCTCCAATTATGTACGATGACGCGAGGATGGAGCTTGTGTGATTGCAAAAAGGGTTGTGGCTCTCTTCTCCAGATGCATTTGAGATAAAGCGTTGAGCGGGAGCAAGCTGGAGCATATGGTTACAATTCGCAGTATACACGACACCCAGTATAACCTGTGCATCATACCCCTGGTTTTACACTTACAGATGCACGACGATTATACACGTTGAGTAAGGACAGACCCTTGTTGGTCGGCCTTGCCCAGTGCACTGGAAGCCGCGTGGAGTTGTTTCCGGGCCACTTTCCGACTTCTTGGCATGTCGGACGATTTGCTGCGCCACGATGCTAGCGCTAGCCCTAGCTCCAGGGTTCCGTGTAGCTTCCATAGGTATATTCCCCAACTTGTTGCTTCAATGTGGGCCCATTCAAATGAAAAGGGTCATCTACCGCTTATCCGACACAATATGTCCGCAGAGAGCTCGGCAGTCTGCCAAGTTTTGATAGCTCTCAACGTGAATGCCAAGAGGTGCGGAGACGACAAGTGAATTAATGCTAGATCTTGGCATTTTTAAGTGGTGAAACTGTGAATATTAGCCTGTGGTCAGTGTTCGTCCCGACTCTCAGTGATCGACACTTACCCTTTCCAAGCGACCGGCTAGAAATCAAGCCTTGGGAAAACTTCGGAACTTTCTTAGCGAGCCGGAGTATCTGCAATCCGTTTCAGCTTGGCTCCGGAAGAGTGCTTTCGACCTGGAAGAGACCAAGAGGGCAATATCGAAACGCGCCAAGGGCCTCTATGTTCCGCCAATGACTCGATCAGGGGGGTAACATAGCAGACGTACTGAGGCTATAAAGCCTCAGCACTTTCACGACCATGAGCCTTGGATTTGACCAGACAAAAGCATCTTTCCTTTGATTCATCGTGCCCTTCTTTAAAACGCTCTGAGAGTGATTCTTTCTTTCTAAGTACCAACTTCTTCATCATTTACAATGCTTCCCAAGGCTGTTATCCTGTCTCTCCTCGCCTCCATGGCACTGGGTGCCAGCGAGTTCCCCATCCCTGAGTCCGCTGGCACTGAGACCTTTAGTGAGCCCAAGGAGATTGCCGCTGGGGAGGTCTTCGATGGTGGTCTGAAGACTTACGGCCGTGGCGTCGAGTGCACTGGCCAGGAAGAGGGCGGCGACAGCGATGCCGTCTTCATCCTCCAGGAGGGTGCTACCCTCAAGAACGCCATCATCGGCACTGACCAGATCGAAGGTGTCCACTGCGAGGGCGCTTGCACCATCGAGAATGTCTGGTGGGAGAAGGTCTGCGAGGGTATGTGTTTGTAGTTTATCTTTATTGGGATCAAAGCTGACTCTGTCGCAGACGCTCTCTCCCTCAAGAAGGGCAACGGCCCTTACAAGGTCATCGGCGGTGGTGCCCAGGGTGCCGAGGACAAGGTTATCCAGCACAACGCCGGTGGTGAGGTCAGCATCGATGGCTTCGTCGTCTCCGACTTCGGCAAGCTCTTCCGCTCCTGCGGCAACTGCAAATCCCAGTCTCAGCGCTCTGTCACCATCTCCAACGTCAAGGCCTACAATGGCAAGCTCCTCGCCGGTGTCAACGAGAACTACGGTGATGTCGCCACCATTACGGACACCTGTGCCACCTCCGTCAAAAAGATCTGTACTTTCTACGAGGGCAATGAGGGCAGCGGCGAGCCCACCGAGATTGGTTCTGGCCCCAGCGACTCTTGTGTCTACACTGACCCTCTTCCTTCTTGCTAAGCGCATTCCCAGTATACTTGGTCGCTTTTTTGTATGTACTATTTGTCTCCCTGCAAGGCAGTCAAAGTCAATCATACTTCACTGTCTTCCTGTACCTATATATAAAGAATTGGACCCTTCTCTGATAGCCTCTGGGGCTTTCAGAGCTGGATTGGGATCAATGTATCTTTCGTCGTTCAACTAGTAAATGTGCGTATTTATTGCTCAGATATAACCTAAACGAATGGGGCGCCCGTTTTTTCTACCCGCTGACCATAAAATGCTTTTTTTTCCTCTATTCTTCCCTCCACCTTCTGTACAACCATAATTCCATTAATATCAAGTTTTGTAAATTAAATATCCAATTGAATGATTGCTACCAGCAAGTAATTTCCCAAAATCTCGCATCTTCGCGGACTCAGAGGTATACCTATATTTGGAACAATCAATCGGCAGACCTCCCAATTAGACAGGGAATAAAACAAGAACAGAATATATGATAGCTTAATAGTACCAGAGTACAAGGTTAAGACTTGACAAATGAAAACCGAGCAAAGCATTATATGTGCACAATTCGAGGGATATTGCAATTTTGTTAGGTCTATAGTGGATCGTGTTTTGTATATATATAATTAATTACACAATACACGTTGGTTTGGGATTCAATATCACTTTAATGGAGAACTATAGTCTATTCTATAGATACTGTTAGTAGTTCTGTATCTATTATTTAGAAATATAATTTGATACAGTTAGATATAAAAAGAGCACGGAGTTACAGAAAACGAAAAGAAAAAGAATAGAGAAGGATAGAAACAGCACAAAACAATTTGCACCCACAAGGATCGCACAGAAAGCGGATTTTGGTATCTTTACTGTTTCAATATCATTCCCTTAGTGTACGAGCATGAGATTGATACTTATCGATCATTGCCATGTTATACTTTAATATCAGGTACGGACTATACAGCCCGAACAATGACCGTACGGCATACCGGTAATAGCCATACACAAACAAGCCACTGCATACAACACCCCACCGGGCTTAACTCCGACCCAGACTGGGGCCGTCAGCAAAACGCATAAGACCGGCGACTGACGCCTCCATAGTTCATCCCGAACATCCACCACACCCGACAATGGCGTCCGCAAGCGAGCTCCCCAAGCGCGATTCGGAACAGCTTCTACCGATCCGGACCCAGAAAAAAGGCCCCGATGACTGGAAGGGGCTCACAGACTCGAAGGAACGGCGACGGCGCCAGAACCGGATCAACCAGAGAGCATATCGTGCGTCTCACCCACTAAAGTCTCATCTACATTAGCCCTTATAACATATCCAACAAAAGAAGAAGAAGAATAAGATATTGACGGAAAGAAAAACACATAGGCCAACGCAGACGAGCCGAAAAGCTCGGCCTGACTATCAAAGCCGAAGAAGCCGAGTCTAGCATAATATCATCCTCATCATCGCAATCCCCACCCACAACAACAGCCCTAACCACCGCCGGACGACGCCCATGTCCCACTCCGGACCAAACCGCCGCCCTCCTCGACCTCTTTAGCAAAACCGCCTACGAGAGCTACATCCTTGGCTCCCCGACCTCCGACCACCTTCTCACCCTCGCCAAAGTCAACGTCTTCCGCGCCTTCGCCTCCATCATGTCCACCCTCGGCATGCCCAAGCACCACGAGTGGATGCACGACGACGCCATCTCCCCCTTCACCACCCTCCGCCCCGGTTTCACCACCCCCTCCTCCATCCCGCCGACCCTCCGCCCAACCCAACTCCAACAGTCCATCCCGCACCACCCCTGGCTCGACTTCTTTCCACACCCGCGCATGCGCGACAACCTCATCCGCGCCGGCGACTTCGACGACGACCAGCTGTGCATGGACATCATGGGGTTCTGGGATATGAGCACCGAGAGCTGCGGGCTGTTGGTGTGGGGGGATCCGCAGGACCTGGCGAATTGGGAGGTCAGCGAGGAGTTTATTCGCAAGTGGCCGTGGGTGGTCGGGGGGTGTGGGGAGTTGTTGGTTTCGACGAATCGGTGGCGGGCAACGCGGGGGGAGAAATTGATATTTAGGTATCTTTAGTCTATTTCTATTTATAAGTTGAATGTACCGTGTAGACTCAGAGTGTTGTATAGAGTGGAAGGATGAATAAAGATTGGGCCATTTTCTATCTAGTTCTTCTTTTTACAGTTTGTAGAGAGATCGGACGATGAGATCATTAAGACCCTTATTGCCGGCGCTAATGCACGTTGCTTACGCGCTAGAGCCACTTTATTTCTTTGCAACATTGGGTTGGCCAATGATGGCCGTTGGTGTGTGCTTGGCGGGTTCTTTTCCTGGTTTGTATTGTATTGTATTGAACGGTGTACTGTCGTTTTCTTTCTGTGATTGATACTACAGTGACCTGTCCTGTGTCAACAACGGCACCTCATCGCAGTATCAGGAACAATGGAAACAGCGGAGATAAAATAGTATCATCACCGCAGTAGGCTGGCCCTTTCCATTGATGCAACTATACGTAACACACGCTACGTACAACTAATACTAAAACCTTGTCTTCGACTCCGGTAGCGTGTGGAGGGAGAAGGGAATACAATTATTGTCGGGGATAGTAGTGCTGCGCAGTTGAGACAGAATTTGACGGGTACGGAGAAGGGGCCGTTGCTCGAGGAAATGGTGGAGGCGATGGATATTGCCTGGTTACGGGTAAAGGGAATAGTTCTCAAGTATTTTCATGAGTTTATATTGTATCTATACGTATAATTATTATCCATTAGTTGAGAGGCAGTAGGTAATAATGGTGGACCTATTCTCTTGGGGTATTGTCTTGAAATGCCTAAGGATGTTTTGATTGTATAGCTTCCACATGCTCAAATCAAATGCGACGCTTGATGGTGTTGCAGTTCCCGTTGCAAATGCCTCAAATGATCAACCTGCGTCCGCATTCTTCAGAGCATCGAAGCTCTGCATCACCAAGGCATGATCTGTTTCAGGCTTTGCAACCTTTCGTGCTATATACTGGCCCTCCTGAAGCCGCGCTTGGACGATTTGCTTCCTGGTCTTTGACCTCATCACCGTGTGTAGGCTCTTGGTTATTCCATGGGCTGGATAGGCCACGAGACCAAGTGCAGCTGTGCAAAGTCAGCAAGACTCGTGAAAAGCGACAGGACTAACCAACCTGATGGTACTTTAGTACCGATGCTAAGTGTTCCTTTGAGGAACCCTTTAGCCATTCCCACGGCACCCTCTTCCTTGGCTCCCTTCTGGGTCTGTGTGAATATATCGGTGAAGCCTTCTCGCATCCCTTGAGTGAAATTCTTGCCACCTGCGATAGCACCACTTTTCCAGTCGCGGACGGCATAATCTTCCACCTCTTCACCATATAGTCGTGGCACGGCCCGGAGGCCCTCTGTAGCAGCTAGCGGGATGTCGACGATCACTCCCTTGTAAACATGTTTCATAAACTTGCCAAATCCCGCTGCCCCGGCCCCGATAGCCGCTCCTGTGGCATTCCAGTCCACCGTGTTAGCCGTTGTGGTTTTCGAGTCAACCTTTAACAGAGGATCTTCGGCGTTGGTGGCTGCCGGAGCTGTCGCAGATCGGCCCTTCAGTTCTTGATACGGTTTCACGAACATATCTGACGTGGCTCTTAGCATGTCTGTGCCATAGCCTATCGTTGCTGAGGTTGTGCTTGTTATTGGATCATATCTGCGATTTGTTATAATTATAGGACGGATTTCGTGCCTGTCACGTTAGCCTGGATTATAAGGTGAGTCGAGACGAGTGGGGTCATACGACTGTAGGTTCTTCGACTCAATGCGCAAGTGGTCCAGTAGGATCTGAGCGGCTAATTTGGAGAGAAGGATAGGTTTGGTGGACCTTTTGTAAATCCACGACGCGGGCTGGTCGGGAATAAGCTGGCAGCGCATGTGGTCCAACGGCAGATTTCGATGGAAGGATTCGACGGCGGCTTTGACACCCGACTCGTATTGCATTTTATTAGAAATATCTTTTGCAGCCTCCTTGGCCTGAGGGGTGAGGCAGTACTGAATTGCTTCAGCGAGGCTTTGGGCTGTCAAAGACTTCTGTGGGATTGGCTCGGGACCGGCCCCTGACGCCGCGATCATCTTACCCCAGAAGGGCTGATCTCCAAAGAAGGGGACAATGGCAGTGGGCTTTCCGAAGCGTAGGCCGCATGCTGTCGTCCCTGCACCGCCGTGATGTACCACAGCAGACACGTGTTGGAAAAGCCACTCGTGAGGGCAGTCGCCGATATACAGAATGTCTTTTGATGAAGAGCCTCCGAGCTTACTCCACCCTCGTGAGATAATTGCACGAACGCCGATCGCTCGGACGGCCTCTTCAAGAATCGAAGTGAGCCGCGGGGGATCATCGATGACGATGCTACCGAAGCCAATATACACCGGTGGTGGACCGTCGCGGAGGAATGCATCTAGTTCGGAAGACGGGGAATATATCGGCAATTCACGAAAGAAGAAGCCACAGACATCTAGATACTTAGTAGGGCACAATACAGAACGGTTAGAGAAATGTACCGATGTAAGATGGCCAATCCTTGGGTTTGGGCACCAAGGCTGGAGACCAGCAATATGTGAATGGCACTTTAAGAGTCTGCACAAGGCTCGGCCCTTCGGTAAGCGGAACCCGTTCGAGATCAATGGTTTCCCTCCAGTCGTTGATCACATCGCCAAGTCTAAACACAGCAGATTAGACAGATGTCTCCACATTGTGAACAATTCATCTCACCCTTGCCAGGTCATCCACTCTACAACTCCGTACGAAACGGCATTTGCGAATCTCGCGTTCGTCCCGGAATATTTCAAATTGGCAAGCGGATGAGGATACTCTGATGTCGAACTCCAGGGCATGGTGAACATCAAGTGTAGAGGAACCCCTAGGGCTTGGGCACAGTGGACATGTGCAAAGCTGGGAGGGTTTGCGATAATGGCGTCGGCCACGAACGGAGCCCCTGTGCTAGGATCATCCTGGATACAAGACTTCCAACATCCTTCCAGCATCTCTCGGACCATCATCCGTTTTCTTGTGATTTCCCCTGCCTTCAGACTCTTCATGTTCGGGATTAGACCCGGGTTCTTCACCATAAATGCCATGAGCTCGGCAGGATCGCCGCCGATTGGGTAGAACACCAGATCCGACTTCCGAACGAAGGAAGCAAACACATCGTGTGTTGCTAACCGCACTCGGTGGCCATGCTTTTGCAACTCGTTCCCCAGTGCAATAAAAGGCTGAACATCCCCGCGGCTCCCCACGACATGTATGACAATGTTGAGTTTGAGATCGCATCGCACTGGCCCCGAGTAGGTAGGTGGCGGGTGTATTAAATCGTCCTCACTGAGTCGGGGGATGAACCTGAGAGCGGTTCTTGCCGTGGCCGAGTCTAGGTCCACATCAATGCGGCCATCATCTACTTTGTTAGTGAAATGTAGTCAAATAACTGCTAGACAACTATACCTTGTACTGTGCTGGATCCTGCTTCTGCGATTAGTGTATAAGGTGGAGGAGCATCTACTAGATCCGCGAGGTCATCCGACTTCGACCGCTGGAGAGGTTTCATTCTGTAGAAATATGAGAGTATGATGAAGGGAAACCATGATCCAGTTGAATATGGTGTTTATATGTATAAAAGATTCTATCAGAGCTATTCGAAGAGAGACCTGCTTGAGCGGTGGGGATAAATCCAGTCCGGTCGTACTCGTGTTCGTTACTGTGACAGGCCTAAGACAGTGGGGCACGACCGTCGCACTATTCCTCTTCTAACGCTAGTCAACGATCCCTAGTGGATCCCAGCCAAAAATAAGAATCCATCCTGGTCGGCCGATCACCCAAATGATTCAGGGGGATAAGGCTGTATTGTGATATCATTGTTATAATTAGATAGAACCCCGAGCTGGCAATTACTAGAAGCACAGGAAATGGTGGATTTTTCCAAGTTTCGTTTTATCTGTTCATCCAGCGGGGCAATTCATCTCCACTGATCCTGGTTTGGGAATATGGTTATGGGCTAGTAAGCATCTAGGCCTCAACTAGTGGAACGCATCCTTCACATAGTCCAATATTCGCCATACTAGGTAATGCTCTGGAAGGGTTCAATTGATTAATTATCAAGATATTATCAGCTGAAGGTCATTGGCAAGGTCGAAACTTAAGGCAAGGCTACCATTTGTCTTACACTGGCGTTGTCATAACATCGAGCTGTCCTAGCTTAGGCAACAGCGAGAAAATTTCGCTCCAACCTTTTGCTGTCTTAGTAGTAGCCCGGAAGCTCCTACTACCTGGTAGTACATGAGCTCATCCTCCGTATTTGCCCAGGCGCTTCCTATCAAAGTAGCGTCGTATTCGGTTAAGGCTGCACTGTCACAAAAACTAAGCTATACCCAATGCTATCAGATTTTGGGTAGCACCGTCTGGACAGGGCCTCATCAAGCCCTTCACTCTTCCACACGGGATCATCCACGTCAACGCCACTAGCGTATTCAAAGATTAGGGACGGGACAGAGCCGGGATAGCATGGTAAATGGCTCTGCCGTGTCACAAGGAAGGTGGAGAGTTGCGCATCACTTCGCAGCACGTAGCACGAACGCGAGTCCAGTTGCATATCAGAGACATGTGACCAGGTTGGCCGCCAGAGACCATGTCTGATCCAAGAGTCTTGAGGATTCGTGTGGTAAAGATACGCTGTGAAGCGTACATTGGCATGGACATACTGTCGTCAATACAGATACTCGCACCTTATAGAAGAATGGGTACCAAAGGTAACCACAAGAGAAACCTCAAGGAGATGGTAACTGGCCATTGTGACTGGTAAGACGCGCCACGTTCGAGTCCGCCACATTCTTTGCCGAGACTACCACCATTTATACATGTCCAAGTTGGAAGTTTTCCTGAGGGCATTGGTCTAGCTTGTATGAAAGAGAAAAGATTCCCAATCCCTAGCCCAACACTCAAGGGTCGACGATCTAATCCTAAACTTGTAGAGACTCGTATGGATGACCGCTAATAAGGAACTGCTGTAAAACGTTGTTTACCCAGTTGACGAGGGGCTACAGTGGAGACTGAACTGCAATATGAAGGCCAAATATTGGTAGCACGTAGTGAGTTGTACATAAGGTTAAGACATCATCTAAACTCGGCATACACAAAGTCTGCCGGAACCAAACAGCGTTGCCGTTCTCCGAAGGCGTACAATCCGAGCATCATCCCGGTAAAGGATGCTCCAACTGGCGGCGACTGAGTCATTGTGCTGTTCTGAACCTCTCCTAGCCACTGGGTCTCGGAATGAGCGCCGTTCACCTCTCTGAAGCCAAACCTATACTGGTCTCCGCATTCGATGAAGAACACAACATCCGACACTGCATTTTCAAGCTCTCGATCAATGACCTCTCCTTCAGCCGGCTGGAAGCGCACAATTCGTGTCGCTTCCTTCGTAGGGGAGAGTCTGATCCCTATACTGCTGTAAGTGAAGTAGTTCCACCAGACGACAGTTCCAGCTTCTGTATGTGGTGATTGAGGATTGAAAGATAATTGTGTTTCCCACGTGCAGTAGTGATGAGTTTGTTTCCGAAGAAATAGAGTCGGACAACTGGGGACGGAGAGGTTATATGGCCCTCCGTGTAGACGGAGGTGGTTTAGTCGTTCTACAAGGGAGTAATCTGTTCTCGTGGGGGTGTCTAAAGGTAACAGTCTCAGTTTAACGTCAGGGAACATGCTTTTGCGAACTTACTTTTGCGGTACCAGCCTAGCTGTAATTCTGGGCCCGAGAAATCATCTCTCCATACTACAGGATCTTGGTCCTCATAAAGGTGTGGACTTTGGGATTTGAGAGAGATCTTATTGCCCCCATTGAAAATCGGCCAATCGTCCTTCCACTCAACGGGTATCAGAAATGTTTCGCGGCCTATTGTCGTCGTAGCCATTGAGTTAGCTCTGCAGCATATGTCAAGCAAAGAATGAGCAAAGGTACCAAAAACAGACTCCTCCCAGTAACCATCCTTCCGCACCGGTCGCACACCCAACAAAACAGCCCACCATCTTCCCTGTGCGTCTTCCACCAAGTCTGCATGCCCAGTATTTTGCACCTCGTCATTGATCCCATTCCTCCAGAGTGGGTTACTCGGTCCCACTTCCCACGGACCAAACGGGCCCGTCTCACTGCGGCTCACCCATTCGCAATGGCCGCTTTCTGTGCCCCCTTCAGCGGTGAAAAGATAGTAGTATTTCCCGTGCTTGAATATATGCGATCCCTCCGAGACGCCGGAGGTAGAATCTCGGATGAGCCTCGGTTCGGATGTGGAGGCCCCGCTGGCAAGATCAACAGTAGCGATATGGATGGCGAAGTCTTTAAGATTTGCATTCGGCGTTCTATTCAGCTTGCGATAGGTCGATGATAGGTAAACTGTGCCGTCATCGTCCCAGAACAGCTTGAGAAATCCTTGTTAGAACAGGCGTGGCACGCTGAACAGGTTGAGGGATGAGAAGTACATACATCCTGATCAAATCCGACCTGGTCGAAAAACACCGGGTCAGACCAGGAATCTGAATCCCAGATGTTCTCTGTCTTCACATAGAACCCGCGCGGCCAAACCCGATCATCATCCTGCGGGCGATAGCGTTCAAAGCTGGCCGCAATTATATAGTACACACCGTCATGGTACCGTAGGGTGGTGGCCCAAACTCCACCACCAGGTTCGGGGGTCTGGATGTGGATCTGACTGCGCCTGGTCAGTGCGTGGCCGATCAGGGTCCAGCGTATCAGATCAGTGCTGTGGTATATCGGAGCTCCGGGGAAGTATTCGAAGGAAGAGGTTACGAGGAAAAAGTCATTCTTCACGCGAATTACGGAAGGGTCGGGATTAAATCCGGGGATAATCGGATTGTTGTACATGACGACAGCAGTCAGATCTATATGAGAACCGTCGGCCTGGAGAAACCTATTCAGTATTTATAGTTGTGTCCGACAACACAACATCACCTAATGCCGTGACGGGATTGGTGGATAAATGTCGCCTGTGCTCTGTATCGTCAACGCGAAAGATTTTCAAGATTGAATAAAGCGACCGAAAATTGATGGTCGAGGAGGATCTTGCAAGATCCTACCCCACATGTTTGGCATATTTTTCCGTCTGCTTGTGGTCAGTGACTGACTCAGTGCTAAATTGAATAGTACTAGGGTCGTAGGCCAGTAGACTACAGACCACTGCCTAAGACAAGCAGAGTATAAGGATTCTTTTTTAATATAGACTATACTCTATAGAATGTTAATTTTAATCTTTATATTTATTTCTATTTATTTAACATTATCTAATGTTATAAATATAGTATACGATAACACGGTTAGCAGGGCGCTGGAAACGGCCGCCATTGCACCGGCTATTTCGAGGATAGCGTGGACTTTTGCTACTTTTATATGCCTACCCCTGCCGCTTTTAACGCTCTTCCTGGCTCTGATGCAGCATCATGTTTATTTTAGTTTAGCTGACCCCGTTAACGTCTATATCGTTCCATGGCATTTTCTTCAACACAAGTGACTAGCCCATTTATTATCTCTAGTAACATGGGTTCCAGGTTCAGTACCTTATTCCACACCCACCGATCGGAAGACCATTCGACAAGCGTTGGAAAGTCTAGACGACTCTAATACCACAACTCCAAGCATCATTCTATTGCGGGGTAGGCTATTCTCATGTTATTTATCATAGGACAAAGAACGGATAGAATCCACTTACAGCTTCTTGGTAGGAGAACTTTAGGGCCCCAAATTCTTCCTGGACCAATCTCGACATCCGGGTCTGGTTAACAGCGCCTCGATCAGCTAGCGAATCGTAATGACGAATCACTCGCTCCCGTTCATTAATCTCAAAGTAACGTGTAGTGGCTGTCTGTGTGGTTAATGGGACAGAAGAAAACCAATGGAATAACGTCCCCAAACGTTTCTTTAGCTTGTCGTCGGTATTTTGAAATCTTCTTGGCCCATGCCGCTAGCGGCCGTTTGAAGGGTCGGATTCGCTTTACTGGTTCAATCGCAATAATCTCATCGAGAGGAATGTTTTTGTCGTGTCGAACAAATGCTGGCCGGTCAGATATCTGCATGGCCGCCAGGATTGTCCATGCATCGAGCCGTACGCCTGGATGGAAGTGTTGAAGTATTGTACATTCCAGCTCCATGCTTCCATTCACGGCCAAAGTGTCGTTGGGGCTAAGTATGGTTTGGCATAATACTCTGGCCTTGACCCCTATTCCTTTCACGGAAAGTGCTTGGTTGGCTATCCTTGCTTCAACCCTCCCTAGTCCAAGGCAGACCCGGCTCGGTTCATATCCAGTTGGCCGACGAGACGGTTGGAGCACAGTCGAGCACGGATAAAGGCTCTTGTGCGGGCTCATCGCTGAGGGAAATTATCGTGCTTGTATGTCACGTCCGCATTGGACCGTACTCTCTTTGACATAGTGCGGCTGGCCCACCGAAAGGGCTTATCCCTAACCAAACTGTCCCAAGTATTGACCTTTTCCGCGATCCTTGGCGCTGATAGTAGTCAGGAGCTCTCATCAGGGCGTGGTGAAGATAGCCATAGCGTTGCATCGGCGCCTTCGACGCCACCCGCTACTTCAAACTAGGCGGGAGTAGAACTGCGCGTGGTGAACGACTAGCTCTTAACACCTAGTTTAGTCTCCACCGTTTAAGTGAATCTTCGAGTCAAGACCAGTTATCCAAGCAACCCGTCCAGGGCCCGTGAGGCTTAGGCTGCTGAGCTTCTGGGACGGAAATGTAGATGAGGACGATTTGTCAATCAAAAAGCCTCCTGATTGACTGGTACCTTGGCGCAGGCGCTGCTGAACTGTGACCCTCACCGCAATCCTTGGCTAGCAATCCCATGCCTGCGCGCTCTTGGATAGCATGAAAGAGACAAATGAGATTTAGTGCTTGGTTTCGATTGCCAAGAGAGACGAATCGTGTTCTAATAAGGAGCTAGCTGCTCTAAGCGAGCCGTCCTGAGTTGCAGGCAGCTGAGATACATCAATCGACGAGATTATCAGATTATCGCGATCGGCTTCAATCGAACGACCAGGGAGAGTCAAAGAGGAGGCATCACAGGAAGTCATCAATATAGCAGCCTTCGTGCCGAAGCCAGCAGCCGAGGCTGAAGACTCTGAGGCCCAGCAGGAAGGAGGGCAGCAGTCGGATCACGAGGAGCCTCGTGTAGAAGAAGAAGATGATGATGAGGCTGAAGAAGAGGGAAAAGGAGGATACAGAGCACCTATATTGCAGGCCACTCTTGGAACCAGCTCCCACAGAGCCTAACATGGCAGGTAATTAAAAGCCCGGCAAGATGCCCAATAAGGAATAATACGTATATGTGCGAAGATGGGCAACGTATCAAGACGCCCTCCTGGAGTTGGGCCTCGATGGATAGCCAGATTGCGATGCCAATAATGTCAACCTTACAGCCAATCGCATATATGAGGAATTTTAGTCTTGACCTTGTCGATCAGGCAAATCCCTACGGGGCAGGTCGTATCTGCAAGTTTGGACCTGCGAGCCTATTGTGCAGAAATAAAGTGTACTGGGGGTTTCCCCACGATTTCCGATCACTCGATCACACTCAACGACTCTACCTCGTGGAATGGCTATGACATCTCGTCTTGGTGGATAATCGATGACCCGCAGGATGATCTGCATGAAGGGGACCGATGCAAAATTGTGGCTCTGTCCAAGGCAGAATCAACGAAGAGCGTGTACGGTTTGATTGTGAAAGAGTTTCAGGGCCCGGAAATGAACGTCCGTAGAAGAATAGGATATTATTGCATAAAGAGTCCATCACAGTATGGCAAAGCATGGAGTCGTGGCACGGTGAGAAAAGAATGATCGTGTTAGTATGACTTTTAGCGGGGACTTACGTTGAGGTATATATCAGGATATGGTTTGTACGAGTTCATTCATTAATGCTCTATACGGGACTACTGCATCTTTAACCTATTAATTAAGCTATGGATAGATAGATAAAATATAGCTCAGAAAACTACAACGGGGTCAGATTCTACTAGAAAAATACATAGTCTGGAGTAATGTAATATACCGTCAGAGAATAGGTGATACGGGATCGCACCGTGGCACAAGATCTGGAAAAAATAGGAAAAAGATCTAGCTAAAGAATAATAAAATAATACATTTGTATGTACCTTGTGCTCCGCTAATATTGTACTGCGCAGTAGTACATTTCTTCAATTGGACCCGCAAGTCACGCCCTTGTCGCCCTTGATTCCACTGATCACTCTATTTATATGCCCAAATGTCGACGACCTCATCTGTCAAAACATTGAGGTTCGTTCTGGCGCTCTTAGTAGATAGTAGGAGTTCGATTTGTGGTCTTTTGCGTAACCTTAAATTTTCTAATCAGATCTCCAACCGCCTACAAACCAGTTGACACGAACTCAAACGCCACTCAATTCAAGAAGTGGTCATACATGGCATCCCATTTAGTCTCCACTATGCCAACCACCGTCTTCCACCCGCTTTCCAGAAGACTGGTTGCAGTTTATCTTTAATATGAGTGCGAGGCTGTTCCAACTTGCCTCTTGGAGTAAAAAGGAAATATGACAAGTGTTATGGTCCCCAAAGTTTCCTTCTTATTTCGGTGATACATTGAGATGATACCGACTTGGTCGAATTATGTGTGACCTTGAGATATTAACTACAACCAAGGATAAGAATATCCACGAGCATCCACGAGACCATTATAATCACCATAGAGGCCTGAGCGATTTGAATGTGCCGAACCGGGTACCTGTCGAATTTGCACCGATTTATCACTATGATGGGAATGAGCGACATAGGATATCGTTCTTGTTCCGAGCGGTTTGAGAGTGTCTGCGAAGGCGGAAAATTCCCCCTCAGTGACGGTGCGGGGATGGATATATGATAACAAAATGAGTTAAGCGTGGGGTCTTCCAGCAAAACAACGAGGCTAAGTAGAGACTCAAAAGGATGGGCGGCCTCCGAGATAAGGTGACATTGAAAAGCTTTTCCGCGGTCAATACGAACAACATGTTCCAAATGTCAATGAAGACGCCATGCGCCCTAATCTAATATCACGCAGTACTATTACAGTGGCCTAGCACATTCGGACCCACTTAGGATTTTCCAACATTTATGATCACATTCCCACCCCAGATCGCACACTGACCGTCATTCCCCATTCAAAGGCAAAGAACCAACACTACTAATGCCCATTCAAATCCGCTATGCGACCGAGTCCGATAGCCCGGATTTGGTCCACATAAACACCGCCAGTTTCGCTCCGGGTCTATTTTACCAGAATGCATTTGCGAACGTTGAAGTTTCGGCCCTACAAACGTTGAAATATGCACGAACTTTCGCAAGATTCGTGGATCCCAAATACCATCTCTTAGTTGCAACGGACTCAGAAACGGGGCGTATCATCGCCTTCATGCGAGTGGTCATCCCACTTCGTTATCAACAAGAGTCCCATTCACTTACAGAGCTATCGGAAAATGCCACTAAGATGGCTGCTGAACCAAATAAATATCTACCCGAGGGAATTAACGAGCGCGTTTATGCGTGTTATTTGGATATGCTCAAGAGCTCGAGGGAAAAGTATCTGAGAGAAGATGATCTGAGTACGTATTCTAGTTTCTCCTAGCTTCTTTCCTCTCATATTCTCACACTTTAATTTCCTCTTGTCTATTCGCTTCGGCTCAGGAAGGCTAACCGGCGCTATAGTCCTGGACTTTTTGGCCACCGACCCCGAGTATCAGGGGAAAGGAATTGGAAGCCAAATGTTGAAATGGGCTACGAAAAAGGCGGATACCCTGAATGCACGAATGTTTCTTGAAGCAACAGAGGAAGGCTATCCGCTTTATAAAAAGTACGGATGGAACACACTAGAGGAAATCGTTCTAGACTTCGAGCCATTGGGGGGGCATAATAAGGGGAGCTACTATATTATGATCCGGGATCCAGTTCCTGATACTAATCAGCCCTAATTAACCATATGCTGTCATTACCATAAGTTGGACGCAACTTACATTGGATATCGCTATGAGAAGAGTAGTATAGGAAGTCCTGAAAGCCCGGTGCATCAATATTATCTATTCAAGTCAAATCTACGGCGTATCTTAGAGAAAAGAAATTATAAAACCATGTTTCGCTTTTTACTGGCCAGGAGAAAAGATCCAGGCACCAAAGGGCAAAGCCCAGGGGTGTTCCCTTACAGAGTAAGCTACCTACTAAGCCACATCCGAGTCCCCCACATCGCCGCTTACGTCTACTTATCATTCCATCCACCCTCATCTAGGTGGCTTATCATGATCCCCCCCTGAGGAGATGGCTAAGACTCGGAAAGTCTGGTAGTCAGCTTCTCGGCACTTGCTTTCTAAGCACGCTCAAGCCTGGGGCTTGAGAGAACCCCACAGGGAAATACCCACAGTGTCCCGTGCCTTCCAGCAAAAAGCATATAATTCATTGTCAAATGAACTGGTGTTTGCTGGCAGTCACTATCATCGTGTGTCTTTTGAAGAGCTCTTGTCGGGAAAACAGTTAGCTATGGGTTATAGCGAGCATTGCACAGCCATGACAGTCTCAGCAACTATTGCCGGTTGATCTCCGATAATAAAATTTGCCGTATGAGCTGAAAAACAGTAGTCGCTTCACTGGTCTTGTTCTTCGTCGCATATTCGAAGCCTGACTATTCCATGGTCTACAGATTTTGAACATATGTTCATATGAGAGGTTCGCCCAGGGCGCCGGTAACTGTGGAGTACTCTTGTCCCAGTTTACGAGGATATGGCGTTCGCCAGTCCAGGTACAGTACCTATTGCCTGCGTGATCAACAGCCCCAAAAGCCTCCTCAGAGATGTAGGGTTCTCTTGCCCCATTCAGGCACTGCCGGGGCAGGGTAAGAGATGCTCCTGTCGCATGTACACTCGACTAGGTATGAACTGAAAATATTTAGGTGGCAAATATGGCTCTAAGTATCTTTTACAGTAAGACTGATTTACAGCGATCGATTCAATCAGCATTCACCATCGACTTTGCGAGATGGCGTAATGACACCCGGATAAATGTTCCAAGAGCTTCCTACCGGTGAAAGGTTTAATGAGCAGGCGTTCTCGAGCTTGAATGATCCACGGATACCTGCCCCGCTCGATTGGCCCCTTGATCTGCACTGGGATTGGGTTTCATGGCGCTGGTAACGCTATCTCGGCTTGGCTGTAGAGCAACACCTGGTCAGTGCCATCGTCGGGTCAGTGGCTGAAGCATACATTGTATTCAGCAGGCTATACCCTTCTTGAGAAACCGCATGTCGTCGTCTATCTCCCTATCTATCACAATGCAGGTACTGTCGAAGCTTATAAAAGCTCCCCAGCGAAGCGAGGACCTCGTCAAATCGAACAACCCCAGTCTCTGATCTCCGGTATTCACAATACCATATTACCGACTATACCTTCGTACTAGCGAGATTTGCCGTCCATGACCACGAGGGCTGCGGACCTTGTTGGTGTCGTTATATCTTTCCTCATTCTCGCCTTGGGAACCGTGGCGTTGCGATGCTACGTGCGTCTACGGATCAAGAGGAGCTTTGGGTTGGACGATGGTCTGGCGGTTGGAGCATTGGTAAATTGTTCATCTTTGACCCGGGGTGGTGCACAACACATGGCACTCGTCCTCGTTCAACCATGCTGATATTTGTATCTTGGAGATTTTCTTCGTCATAGCGGCATGTGCCTTACTTGAAGGGGTTCGAATTGGCAGTTTCGGGTACTCCTGGACGGAATTAACGCCAGAGGTCCTCCTCAAAGGCTTGAAGGTAAACTGAAAACAACCGAATACTTCGATTTTCAACTCATCATCGGCTGCAGCTTCTATTTCTCTATGAGTCATCCTATGTGGTCGCAACCACCTTGGTCAAATTCGCCGTGGGTGTCTTTCTCCTACGATTTTGTATCGAACGCTACCATAAATGGATCATCTATGCCATTCTCATCCTACTCAGCTGCCTCACCATTTTCATCTTTATCTTCGTCCTCATCCAATGCCGGCCACCATCATGGTTCTGGAACCAAGCGATCACCCCACATGGCAGCTGCGATGGGAGAGGCTTCATCAAAGCGGCCTATGTGCATTCCGCCATTACAGCCTTTAGCGATGCGACCCTTGGGCTCCTGCCGATCCTGATTGTCCGAAGTCTGCATTTACCCTGCTACATCAAGGTTCACGTTGCTGTGATTCTGGCACTTGGTTCACTGTAATATATTCCCCAACGTCCTGGAGAAGTAAGATGCTCACACTTCACTTTTGTTCGCAGTGCCTGTTTTGCAACGATTGCGAGGATGTGTTTTGTTCACCAGCTCACCGACCCGAAAAATCTATTTTACTATACGGGTGTGATATGTTGGTCTTACGTTGAAGTGGGCGTTGCACTCATTACCTCGTCTGCGGCAACACTCCGGCCCCTTGTGGACCAAGTAGAATGCTGCGTTCCCCGGTGGCGACGCTTGAAGTCCAATCAGTACACCTCGAATGGCTCGAACCATCATGTCACATCCTCAACCACCTTCGAGGAGGCGCTTCAACAGGATAATCCAGGGATGAGTCTTGCCCCTATTACCCCGTTACCCCAAGTATAGGTGAAATACCGAAGAAATTCAAATAGATTTTCTCGTTTTTACGAAGATCAGTGGCCAAACGTACGATGAGAGGGTTGCAACCTTAGCATGCGGAAGCTTTTTCAGTTCCATGATAGCTATGGCCGCTTTTATATATCTTCGTAGGTGTTTTTAGGAATACCTGGTGTAGAACCGTGGAAGCAAGGCAGCTGTACCATTTTTTCAGTCGGAGCCCTCCCCACCCTTTTTCCTTCTTTTTCGTACTCTTTTGCCCCTTTCTTTTCTCTCGCATCCGTCTCCGGGTTCCATCTTCTGCGAAGAAAAGGAGAACGGGAAAGCCGGGTGGAGTCCGTGAAGGAGGTCATCACGTTAGCCCGCCCGTGGTTTTCGTGGGTCCGACGGGGGGGAAAAGCCGGGGAAGCAGGACGGAAGAATCAATTGAAAGGAGTGTGATTATGTTCGGGGCTCAGGATGAGGCTTCACTGGGACTCGAAGGTGGATCTGTCGTCATTCCCGTATTTCACATGTGATCGCGGGTTGGCGGAGAGGAAAAAGGAGTGGCCCCGATTCGCTTCTTATCCACAATATGGTGGTTTCGTTTACGGAGTAGTTTTGAAGCTCTCCCAATTCCCACTGGTGAGATCATGTGAAGTCGCGGATCTCTTAGCACGTGTCAAGCCTTTTCATGTAAATGATTAGTTGTTGTGAATTCCTTTCCTCCGCGTCTCCTGTTCACGCCGAAGTGGCTTCCGGGTTGCAGAGTGGTAAAGGAAAATGCGAAATTGGGCCATGCCATGGAAGTCGGAAGACAAAAACTACTACTAATCATAAATGATTCTAGTGTCAATTCGACACCGATACATAGACTGGCTACCCCTCGCCAGTTTGGATCGGTATAGTCACGTGCCCCGCGGCGCGCAATGTGGATCTCCAGTGTATGGGGAAGCTTTTGACGTTCTGGGGTTTGAAAGATTTATGGATGCGATCAAACTGTATTCCCCGGTATTTTGGTTCTCTGATATTATATTATACGACCAGATAGAGATCGGGGGGGGGGGAGTTGGTCGGATGTAGATACACCCTGTAGAGACTGCGTTGGCCCTGCAACTGATCGTTATCAGATAACAAGTCCAGCAGGGCAGGCCAATCATTAAATACGCTCAGGCTTGGATCGCTGTTGAACTGCTGCACGCCCTGCCGAGTTCGGGACAGACCCCTGTACGCAGAATAAGTTAAGTTGCCTTAGTGTTACATCCCTGGTAGGTATCGACAAGCCTAAAAGATGACTCGGTATCGTGAATTCCGAAGGCTCGTCGGCCGAGAAAGTTACGGCTACTGACCTGTCCGAATGACTTGGGGTTTTCGCCTCTTGCCGGTGAAGTAAGGCAGCAAGGCCACCAACAGACGAAGAACAGCCGAGGCTTCTGCCCCATTGGGCAATCGCTACGTTCACCCTCGGCCATTTTGTTTCTTGGTTCAGCTTCTGGGGCATTTTCCCCGTGGAGTGCTCTTCCTATAAGTCCTCCACTGCGCCCCCCTCCCCCATCTTGGTGACCAGATTTGTTTTTCTCTACAATTCTCATTCACTTCTATCATTCAGACATCCTCCATTCCCCATACAATCCTCACAACATGCCCTCTCCTCCTCCCGCCTGGGTCCAGGCGTTGAAGCCGGCTGGCCCGCAAGGCTCCGAGCTCCTCGCCCAGGAGCGCGCCCAGTCCAACGTTGACGTTGACAAGTTGGCCGAATTATTACACACCAAGGAGGCATTGGCCAGACAACAGCAGATTCTGTCCATCATGGAGTCCGATAAGGTGTTCGATAAATCAGAGAACTACACCTTGGGCCGCACAGAGAAGATTCAAAGAGCGTTGGCCAAGGCGAAGCGCCTGCAGCAATTGGCTGTGCAACACAACTGGTCGCAGGATGACTACTACATGGCGAACGATCTCTTGTCGGAGCCGACTCCTTATGGCCTCCATGCCAGTATGTTCTTGGTGAGTTACACTGCAACGCGACCAACCGATCCTAGTCGACCACTAACGGATCTTCGATTAGGTTACTTTGCGGGAACAGACTACCCCTGAGCAAAAGAAGCTCTTCCTCGAACCGGCTTCGAACTACAAGATCATTGGATGTTACGCACAGACGGAATTGGGCCATGGTTCCAACGTCCGTGGCTTGGAAACAACTGCCACATGGAACCCTGACGACAAGACTTTCACAATCCACTCGCCTACCCTGACTGCCTCGAAGTGGTGGATCGGCTCCCTGGGTCGCACTGCCAACCACGCCGTGGTCATGGCCCAGCTGTACATCGGAGGCAAGAACTATGGCCCCCACCCGTTCGTTGTCCAGATCCGTGATTTGGAAACCCACCAACCTCTGGAGAATATCTACGTCGGAGACATTGGTCCTAAGTTCGGTTATAAGTGAGTAGCTCTTTTACATGTATAGTTCGTCTTCATGTCAACAGGATACTGACTGAACCAGCACGATGGACAATGGTTTCCTTTTGTTCAACAAGGTCAAGATTCCCCACGTTAACATGCTGGCCCGTTTCTCGCGCGTCGATAAGGAGACCAACAAGTATATGCGCCCGGCATCTCACTCTCTCCTGTACGGTACTATGACCTGGGTTCGCTCCAACATTGTGCTGCAGGCTGGTAGTGTGTTGGCTCGTGGTGTCACCATCGCCACCCGTTATTGCGCTGTCCGTCGGCAGTTCCAGGACCGTGATGGCGGTAAAGACGCTGGAGAAAACCAGGTCCTGAACTACAAGATGGTCCAGGTCCGTCTCCTTCCTTTGCTCGCCTCCATGTATGCACTCCACTTTACCGGTCGCGGTATGATGCGCCTTTATGAGGAGAACCAGAAGCGGATGAAGGGCGCTGTTGAGGCTGGTCAGGACAAGAGAGGCGCAGGCCCTGAGCAGCTGAGGGCCGGTGCAGACCTGCTGGCAGATCTTCACGCCACTTCCTGCGGTCTGAAGGCACTCGCTAGTACCACCGCCGGAGAGGGTCTCGAGGTGTGTCGTCGGGCTTGTGGTGGTCACGGATACAGCAACTACAGCGGTATTGGACCGTGGTATGCGGACTACCTGCCTACATTGACCTGGGAGGGTGACAACTACATGTTGACACAACAGGTTGCAAGATATGTAAGTCACTAATCCTTGCTCTTTGGTCAAATTCGCCTGCTCACTGTCGTAGCTTTTGAAATCTGCCCGTGCCGTCCTTGCCGGTAAGGGAACGAACAACGACACATCCCAGATTCTGCAGACATATCTCTCTCGTCGGGAGAAGGGTGCTTCTTTCGACATCCTGGAAGAGGATAAGGACATCGTTGCCGCCTTTGCCTGGCGTACCGCACATCTCACCTTCGAAGCGTTGAAGCGCCGAGACGTTGAGAAGCGGTCATGGAACAGCCTGCTGGTCGACTTCTGGCGCCTGTCGACCGCGCACTCGCAGTACCTGGTTGTTAAGAACTTCTACGAAGCGGTCACTTCGCCCCAGCTCACATCCGAGCTGGACCCTGAGACTCTATCCTTGATGCACAAGCTCTTCCGCCTGTACTCTCTGCACACTCTGGAGCGTGAGGCCGGTGAGTTCTTCTCGTCCAGTGCCGTCACCACCCGCCAGATCTCGCTGGCGCAGTCGAACGCTGTGATGAAGCTTTTGGATGAGATCCGCCCCCACGCAGTGCGTCTGGTCGATGCCTGGAAGTTCCCTGACTGGCAGCTCGACAGCAGTCTGGGCCGCTATGATGGTGAAGTCTATCCAGACCTCTTCCGCCGTGCTTGTCAGAACCCGGTCAACGACCTGGTCTTCGACCCCTACCCGTGGAATGAGAACGTGCTGAAGAACAGCGCACCCAAGAGCAAGCTTTAATTTCTTCGTTTGGTGTAATTTCTGGCGATATAATCTTTTGATATGCATTCATGTACAGTTTAGGTTTTGGGATGAATTTGCTATGACGGGGTTATAGATATAGACTATCTATAGAATAGAAATATAGACCCTAGACGGATTTGGTCAACGATTGTACAAGTAAATATCAGTAATCTAACTAAGTAACCTAACTAAGTCTCGCCGAACCTTGTACATTGGGGTCGTTTGGGAGTACTATCCAAGGCAGAGGATCAACAGAAGGCTGTAAGGCTACCTCGCTGAGATCACAACTTGAGATACACCACAACGATAAGACAAGAACTTCAGCTTTGATGATTACACCTGTCGTACATGGAGGCTTCATCACGCCAGTGGCATTCATTCTATATAAGCGTCCGATTTGCCCCAAAGGTTTACATATCATAACCCCTCACCTCATGATCGAACTATATCCATTATATCCAACCGAAGAAACCATGATCCAACCACTAATGCCCCACCATAGCTTGATGCACAGCACCATACCGATTCCCATGCGGCTTCGCAGCATCAATGATCTGCCTCATCGCCTCTTTCTCCTCCTCCGTCAAGTCAATCTCCCTCGAAGCCCAATTCTGCTCCAACCGAGTCGCCTTCGTCGTACCCGGGATAGCAATGAACCCCTGCGCAGCAACCCACGCAAGCGCGATTTGACTAATCGAGCAACCCCTCCGCGCAGCAAGCTTCTTGATCTCCTCCACAATAGCCCGGTTCTTGTAGAAGTTCTCACCCTGGAACTTGGGGCCTGGCGCAGAAAACATTAGCAAAGTGTGGTCTGGCATTGGGGGGGGGGAACAGGGGGGAGAGGGAGATATACTCGTGCGGCGGAAGTCACCCTCCACAAAGTCGTCCGGCGTCTTGAATGGGAAGTCATCCACGAGCCACCCGTGGCCCAGCGGGCTGTACGCCACATAGGCTACGTTGAGCTCTCGACACGTGTCGATGAGCCCGTCTGTCTCGTGCAGTGTTTCGAAGGCAGAGTACTCGGCTTGAATGGCGTCGATTTTGGCGACTGTGGCTCTTCTGTTAGAAATAGTGTATCCAGGGGAATGAAGGAGATGGGGAAAGACGGACTGGAGTTGGCTTTGCGGAGCGTCGCGGCCGAACACTCGGACAGACCGATGTACTTGGTCTTGCCGGCTCGGCGGATCTCATCCAGCGCCGGGATGGACTCCTCTAGCGGGGTGTCTGATCTCGTTAGCTTGCTAGCGTTATTATACGCCCTGGGCACATCTGACACATACTGGGATCTATCCGATGCAAGTAGTACAGGTCCGGGGCGAAGCCCAGTCGCTCAATGGTGCCCTCGATGTATTCCTTGATGTGCGCGGCGGAATTGGTGACGCCGCCGCCGCCGAAGACATTGAAGCCGCATTTGGAGGCGACTGGTGTGTGTGGAATGTTAGATTAAATGAGTGTTGTGTTGTTTTATGTGGTGACCCGGGGGTATGAACTGACTGAAGACTTTGTCGCGGACGTTGTGTTTCCTGATAAAGTCGCCCAGGAGCTTCTCGTTCACGCCTGCTTGATAGACGACCTTTGCCCCCGCCGGTTAGACTCACTCGGTGATACTCCAAATAGGCTGAATGGTCACTCACGGCTGTGTCCCAGAATGTACATCCCAGTTCGATGGCTTTCAGCAGCACGGGCTCGGCTTCCTCTAGCGACAGGTTGCTACCCAGGCCGAAGCTTAGACCCATCGCCCCAAAGCCTGGCGTGGGAACTTCGAGGTTGGCGAAGGGGAGTGTTTTGACCATTTTCGTTGGGATGTTCGGGGTTGCTACTGGGTTGATGTCAAAGGGTTGAGGTTGTTTCGTTTGAGTTTTATCTCCCGGGGTCGTGGACATATTTATATTTCTTGAGTTCTTCCCGACCATACGGCTTCTAGTAGCCAAAAGCCGGCACTTGACGTAGATTATACCGTCACACCAAATGTGATGCAATGGAGAAGATACTCCTTCAGCCAATTACTTCCCATCTTGACACTGTCGACTGCTGACACGGCTTTACTCGCTTATATCCGAATGTCCGATAAACACCGTTTGGCGCTGACGGCGGCGGGCGTTGTGGGGCCTGATGATGTCGTTTGAGGAGCAAACAACAGACTCCATTTTCAGTGGCTGTGAAACTGTCAGTGGAGAAAAATGCTTGTTTTGAGCCGCTGGTTATTAGCAGTGCTAGAATGTCATCGGTAATCTGATGCCCCACAGCGCGTTTCCAGAGTTGGGTTGACTACAGGCTTGCTCTAGCCCTATCCTCTGTAGTATTTCATGGAACAGCCAGGACTGAAGTTGTGTATATAATAGTGGATATTATACTGTCTAGTCTATGTACATCTTTTCATGCCTCTAAATCATCACGTCATAGTCTAATCAAAGATCGACGGCTTGTAAACTGAAGGATCGATATAAGGTGTACCACCACGTCTGGTGAATCCCCAGCGAATCTGATTGGCCATGGAGATCTCAGTATTGAGGTGCTGGGCGAAAGTCCAAGCTAGACCGGGGTCCTTCTGGAACCCACGTCCGACCAGAGCCACGTCGATGCCCTCCTCCTCGAGCAGCTGGTTGGCCTGCTTACCGTTGGTGATAGCACCCACGGCGGAAACAAGCATCTTATCGCCAACGGCCTTCTTCACAGCCACAGCGAAGGGAACCTGGAATCCGGGCCCGGACTTGACCTTCTGCGCGGCGTGCACACCACCGGAGCTGATGTCGATCAGATCCACGGCACCTTGGGCCACGAGCGCCTGGGCGAACTTCGTCGTCTCGTTGACGTTGAAGCTCTGCTCGGGGAGGACCTCCTCGAGCCAATCGGAGGCCGACACACGCAGGAAGACGGGAACATCAGGACCGACGGCGTCGCGAGTCAACTGGGCGATTTCCAGGGGAAGACGAATGCGGTTCTCAAACGAACCACCATACTCATCGGACCGGTTATTGGACGCAGGCGAAAGGAAACTGGACAGTAGATACCCGTGGGCATTATGAATCTCAATGAAATCCGCCCCAGCAGCAATCGCCCGCTTACAAGCCGCCACCCAGGCGTTCTTGAACTCCTCGATATCCGCCTTCGTCATGGCCTTGGGCTTCGGGTATGAGTCAGCGAAGGGGATGTCGCTGGGTCCCTTGACGTTCTCGGGCCATCCGCCCACTTGCTCGGACGCGACGACGGCGCCCGCCATCCACGGCGGAACGGTGCTGGCTTTCCGGCCTGCGTGCGCGACCTGCACGCCGATCTTCTGGCCCTGGCTGTGCACGAATTCAATGACCCGCTTCATCGGCGCGATGTGGCTGTCTTTCCAGAGACCGACGTCCTGGGGCGTGATGCGGCCCTCCGGTTGCACGGCCGTGGCTTCGATCATCATCAGTCCTGGGCCGCGCTGCGCGATTCCACCCAGGTGCGCGACGTGCCAGTCTGTCATGTGGCCATCTTCGGCGGAGTATTGGCACAATGGGGCCAGCTGTCTGGTGTTAGTTTTGGGGGGCGAGAGACGAGTGACGTGGGATGGATAGAACTTACGCCCAGGCGGTTCTGGAAGGTGACGCCGCGGACGGTGAAGGGCTGAAAGAGTTTAGGCACTTTCTGGCCGTTGGTCTGCGGGTTGGCTGCTGTTCCCGCGGGCGGGTTCTGGGCGGGAGTGAAGTACGAGATGCCCTGAGCGGGCTCGACGTAGTCAGGGGTATGCATTTTATGCGTATGGATGTAATGATTTGGTCTTGTACTACGAAGATCTTGACATGGAACGTAAGCACTTTAAATACTACACACTTTGCACCTTGACCGAAAGCCTTCGAAATGTGCCCCACAGCCTTTGATTTCAAATCACCGCCGCAGTGGGTATACTTGAAGGCGACTTGTCACGGCAGTATACAGAGTCTCTGGGCATCATACCCAATGTTAGTCCGGTTCAGACTTTTTTCCCCTTGCCGATCAACCGTGTGCCGTGCTGATTGGACGGGGGAATTGGGGTTTTTCCATTAGTTCAATCATGGTTCCTTTCTTTTCCATGGGGCTTGTTCTATGGATTGAGAATCGGTTCTTTCCAGGACTTGAGTTTGCACACCTCAGGCGATTGGCGGGCGGTGAGCTTAGTCAAGGGGCGGCGAGATTATTCAGAAGTCGGACAAATGACTGGGGAAAAGTCTCCGAGGTCACGTGGATTAACTGTCGTGTATGCAGGCACGTGACTATATGTGACGTCGTATATCTTCTGTTTTCCTGAGTCTTGAGATCAATGGCCGTTTCGGTGGGCTGATTGGATAATGTAATCTGGACCAAGTACCGTGATCTGCGAGACGTCGCTGATTGGGCCAAATTCTAGGGGTCACGGCTCTTGTACTCATGGGGCATGATCGGCGTTCGTTACGTCTACGCTCCGCTGGTGTAGATAGGAATGTACGGTACTAGACAGACGGTTTAGTATAGATATTCATCTCTATAGAACCAGTGTCTTTAGAAATACCTGATATACCTGGGACTTGTGGAACTCGACGGCGTTGGGTAAGAGAAACTTGGCTCTCAAGCCACCACCTCCTCCCAGGTTGCCATAACCGAGGTAATCACGCGCTCTCCCACCGAGGCACGTTAGTGTATATCAAAGATGTGTAACTGGACTTCACCAACTTCGAACAGCCACATTTGGAAAGTCAATACCAATATATTAAGAAGTCTGGTATCATCATGGAGTCTGGACCTCGTCACGCCACTGTGGACCGTGGACATATCACGAAGCCTGAGCGGCTAGAGAACACATATACTTCCGACACCAGTCTTCAACGGGTTCTCTCCTGTACGCCTTACCACGGTCGCACTCTGTAAAACTTAAGGAATGAACTAATTCGTACAGGGTATCTCCCATCGCAGAAACTGGAGCAAGCCCAATCGCAACTTGTGGAGTTGGGCGAGGAAGCTGTGTCGGACCAGATTCGGGAGTGGAGCGCGGATGCCGAGAGGCATCAGCCATATGTGAAGGGATTCGATGTCTGGGGTCAGCGATATGACTATGATCGACTGATGACGAGCGAAGGGTGGAAGCAGCTGGGTAAATGGGGTGCACGGCACGGGTAGGTCGTCTATGTACCTCCACAATCCACCGATTTACTGACCGGTTAAGTGTCGTGTCGCTGGGATATGAGCCGACTTACGGGGCGGAGAGACGATTGGTTCAGTATGCTGTGTGAGTGGTTCTAATTTGGCCTGTGGCTTTTTAAACGCCGATCCTGACCCGGGGATAGGAACTATCTTTACTCTCCATCATCCGGGCTTTATTCCTGCCCTGTTAGTATGTCTGATGGGGCCGCGCTTGTTTTGAATCAGGAGCGCAAGAGCCTCCCTCCAGATCACCCCTTCCAGACGGCGTATCAGAAGTTGATCTCCACGAAGGAAGACTATTGGACTTCGGGTCAGTGGATGACCGAAAGAGCAGGAGGCAGCGATGTCCAAAATACGGAGACTTGGGCCACATACTCGCCTTTGTCACATAAGTCGAAGGCCTCCAACGGTCTCGATGAGGGTGACTACTTGATCAGCGGGTTCAAGTTCTTTTCTTCCGCCACTGATGCTAATATCGCTCTGATGCTTGCTAAAACGCCGTCGGGAAAGCTCAGTACGTTCCTCGCACCATTGCGGAAGACCGTCGTCGGGTCAGATGGCAAGCCTCGAGTGGTCACCAATGGTGTCCGAATCCATCGTTTGAAGAACAAGTTGGGAACCAAGGAATTACCTACAGCGGAGCTGGAACTTCAAGATATGCGCGCTCACCTGGTCGGCGATGTCGACCGTGGTGTGATGGCTATTGCACCATTGCTCAATATTACTCGGACTCATACATTCATTGGATCCCTGTCTGCATGGCGACGTGCCATTAGCATTACCAAGAGCTTTGCTAAAGCCAGAACAACGGTCGGCGAACCCTTGTGGCTTATCCCCATGCACCTGAGCCTACTAGCAGACCTGGAGGTGAAACATCGGGGGGGGATGAATCTCGGCTTTTTCACGGTTGCTGTCATGGGCGTGGTCGAAAATAACGGGGTCTCGACACCTGCGGCGCACCTGCCCACGAAAGGCAAGGAAGCCCATGTAGTGTTCCGCGCTTTGACAGCCATCGCTAAGGCAGTGATTAGCAAGAACGCAATTGCAGGGATTCAAGAATGCCAAGAGGGAATGGGCGGGGTTGGATACATGGATGAACCGGACGAGCCGGAGTTCAACATTGCTCGACTGCTCCGGAACACTGCGGTGAACTCCATTTGGGAGGGGACCACTAATGTGCTGGCGAGTGAGCTCGTTCGCTTCCTTCTCAAAGGTGATAATTTAGCCATCTTCTCCGCCTGGTTCGAGCGCACCTTGGCCTTGATTACGATGCCTGAGTTCGCGAGCGCTTTGAAACTAACATGGTCTGGCTTCCTTTCTCGGGTCAAAGCCACCAGCGAGCCGCGGTTCATTCTGGCGGATGCTCGCCGAGTCATGTTTACTCTTGCCTGGATACTCAGCAGTGCTCTTCTTGCTCTGGACGCCGAGCGAGACGCTGATGCCGTTGCGACCGAAATTGCACGACGGTGGATCCTGTCCGGTGAAGGCGGCGTTGGTGACATGGTTTGGCGAGACATTATTAGCATGCAGCATCCTACAGACGCAGGGCCTTCGTCGATAACCAACGAGCATCTGCGCTGGGACTGTCGCATTGCTTGGGGGGTAGAGTTGCCAGCAAAGCAAGTGTCGGGCCATCGGTCATTCCAGGGGAACGCCTCCAAGTTGTGAGTCGCATCATGCATGTGGTCGCCGTTGTCATGATCCTCCATGTGCGTTACTCGAGGGCTAATATTGGGGCCCACTTCGCATTAATTGTCCATAACATATGATTGTACATAACGTATGAAGCTACTCTAGTGAACTGGCCAAGGCCCTTGTCAAGGCTAAATTCCACCATAAAAAGGGGGTAACCAGAAGCCCAAAACAAAGAAAAAAAAAACGGATACGGAACCTGGTCTTGAACTCTAAAGTTCGCAATGCCTGCCAACTTTGTCGGGCGCTTTGTAGACTAGATTATCGTTCTCGTGCAAATTCCTTGATTTCCCGTGGTATCAGGCTGTACAATAAACTTCTGATGGGCAACAGATCGATTTTCACTTGAGTCTGGTAGCGGGGAAACTCGTGCCGATGGGTCTCCGAATATCCTTGAAGCGATGTGGATCGATTAATTATGTGATGACGAAGACTGGCGCATGGAAGTTGTCGCAGGTTGGAAAAGGGGATTTGACCATAATTCGCTAATTAGTTGCCGTTTGGGGCGCCAAACGTTAAGCCGGTGGGGGTCACGGGACGATGGGTCTCAACGGTCGTTAGCGTCTCCCTAATGATTTGTATATGTTTCCAACTTTCTTGAGCAAGACGCATCTCTTTACCTCGTCTGGACGTCCAGCCTGCATGAATTCTTCCAGTACTGTTGGTCAAAGAATGAGAGAATCCACCGACTCCGCTGCGATTGGCGGACTAAGCAATCAATCGCTCCACCGCCTATAAAACAACAAGATTATAGAGTGAGACTAGCGGAAGGATCGGCTGCAACGCTGATTGTTCGGCGAGAAAAAAACCACGCGGTGTAACTCGACTAATGTGAAATCGCACTCCGGTTTGGAAGATCCCGCGTGGGGAAAGGCCCAACTGTTACTGAGAGTGAGGAAAAGTCTCAATCGTCGCCCGTTTAACACTGGCAAAGCCCTTGTCTTCGCACTCTGTATGCATAATTCCTGCTGTTAACGACCATCTCTCTGTCCTCTTAAAACGCAAGACCGCAGGCCATTACAGCCACCATGGCCTCGTGGCAGGATGAGCGGCAACAGTTGGCCGTTCCTGAGTTACAGATACTAGCGATGGATCCTGTGCAGGTCGATGTGAGTTGATGCCACTCGGGGTCATGGTTGAGGCAAGTTGCGGTGAGTGTAGTGGCTGACGCTGATTTTCACCAGGATGAGCCATTCGCAGACTCCATCTATAATGAATCGTGAGTAGCTGTAACCGTTATTGTTTCACCGTGTATCGATTGTAAGACTGACGAGACTTATAGGTTAAACACTGCTAGTTTTATCACATCATTGAATTCCAGTATTTTAAATTATAAGTAGGTGGCCTATGACTGACTCCAGCCGTGACGGCAGATCTGACAAGGGTGACACTCTAGGTACGAAGTTAGTGAGCCGATCCTGCAAGCAATTCATGTTGCTGACTTCAACGCTAGAATGGCCGCCGTTATCATGCATTTCGCGAAGGAACATATTTGGTAGTATGTGATTCTGGTCACCTCCTGATCTATCGCCAGGTATATCTAACACCCGACAGCCGAATGATGAAGAAGAGCAAGATCGCATGGACCTAGCCCACCATATATATCGCTTACTTCTCGGAGGCGCTCTCTATCTTGCCCCAATCAAGAATGATGTCCAGCGGGTGCTGGACCTCGGCACTGGAACCGGTATCTGGGCGATAGATTTTGCTGAGTATGTGCATGGCTACAAGCTCACAAATGTGTGACCGAGTTCGACTGCTAACATCGTGACCTTAGTGAGCATCCAGCAGCACAAGTTATCGGCACGGACCTAAGCCCTATACAACCTAGATGGTATGCACTATCTCAGCGTCCCTGTACCTTATTAACAGTGGTAATTGGTAGGGTTCCGCCAACATGCACATTTGAGATCGATGACTTCGAATGTGATTGGCTATATACCAGACCATTTGACTTCATACATGCTCGTGAACTGGAGGGATGTATAGGCGATGATGTAAAGTTCTTTAAGCAAGCGTTCAAACATCTAGCTCCGGGAGGATATTTTGAAATGCAAGCAGTGACATCGCCTTTCCTTTCCGACGACGAGTCGTTAGCCAAGGCCCCAAATGCCAAGCAGTGGATGGACAATCTTGTCAAGGGGTTACGAAAATTTGGCAAACCGGTCGATAATGTCGGCGGCTGGAAGGAGAAGCTAAATGATGCTGGCTTTGTCGATCTACACCAGGAGATTCGCAAGGTTAGTAGTGTCTGGATTGACGTGCATACGATCTATTGTCTCAGTTGTTACTAACCGGTGAATAACAGCTCCCAATTGGACCGTGGCCTAAGGACCCTAAACTAAAGGAGATCGGAAAATACCAAGGTGTCCAGGAGCTTCAGGTCATTGACTCGTACACTCCCGCTATCTTTTCACGCGTCCTTGGCTGGAGCCGCGAAGAGATCCAGGTTTTAATTGCAAAGGTCAAGCGTGAGTTGAGGGATCCATCCATCCATTTGTATCTGCCGGTCTATTTCATATATGGAAGGAAGCCCATATGATTATGGATCACGATTTAAAATATTGTCTTTCTGTTATTCCTGTCTATCCCGTGATTGTCTGTTTTCTGCTGGGTCATAGGTTTCGCTGTATTTCCTTTGATCGGGTATATTAATGAACGCTTCCCTTCTTTCCCCTATCCCGCGCGTGTCATATCATGGCCTTGAGTGGACACAAAGGCATTGTGCAGTGGGGCAAGAACCTACTGCAATACAATCTCATTCTTTCTCGGTTGGGAGGGTCACTATCTGTTTCTTGTCAAGCCAAAATCACCAAAGTTTGTGGATGACGATATCACGACCGGACAATGCGGAATATGCAAGGTCTAACACATACTGTGAAACGTGACATGGCTCACTGCTAGACCACGCAATCTGCATTCATCATTGCTCACAGCTCCTTCAGTGAGATTTGTCGGTCAAAGATCGTCGGGGTCCAATACAGCTCTCGAACAAATACCGTGCCTTGTGACCTTCATCGATGGGATCAGACTATCATACTGTTCTAGAAGATTGTGATCATCACCATGGAACCCCTCAGTTCTTCGGATGCACGAATAGGAGGCAATCTAACAACCGGACACCAAGACTGAGCAACCTTCTGTATGCCCTTTGATGAGTGGCTCAAGTCTCAGCTGTGGGTATAGGTCCATTGCATCAACGCCAAGGGTGGCACTGCTGGAGTTTATCTCGTATAGCATGATGCTAGCTATGAACTCAAGTGCGGCATTTCTGGCTGATTCTTGCAACACTTGCACCGAACATGGGTAGAAAGATTTACAGCTTGGCCGTGATAAGATGGGAGTGATGTCCGTGATTGTTGAAGACTAGCATAATCCACAATTAGAGAAACGGACGATATAATTGCCTATGTGTGAAGTTGTGATACATTGTCGGGGTACAACAGACAATGTATCAAACGAGGGTGTTTCGAGGCCGACACGATTATCTTTTCATCGCAACATAAACCAATATTCTCTAGCTCAAAGGCACTGTACTACTGTATTTTTCTGATACAATATCCGCAATCAGCCCTGAATCGCAATGTTAGGCAGCAGTTCTACGGTCTCTCCACCGACGAGATGCCGAGGCTTGGCAGCAGCGTCAGGGTTAACACCAGATTTGCTACAGGAAGACTGAGAAGATGACTACCTGTGACGGTCACCTATGATACATGACCCCATTATCCCTGCGATATCAAAGGAATTAAGCTTTGTTTACAGGACCCTGTAGTGCAGATAAGACGAACTCCCGCCTGCAACGCGAGCCTGGGCTTTACCAGATCTTGCGACGGTGCAGTAACAGTTTCACCAATCATTTTCGGCTCGAAGGAGCTTTGTGGTAAGCTAGTCAGATCGCTAGTCTCATCTCCGAGTATTTCCTAGATACCAATGACAGTCGCCTTCAAGTGCCACTTTCATTGACCCGATCGGTGGCTTGGAGTGAACTTTCTCGGCCTTTAATCAAGGCACCTGGCCTCGGTTTCGGGCATAGTGACATGGGCCATGCCCTTCAACCCCACATATCTTGCAACCTCAGGGCAGGCAGGACGAGAGCCAAGACTTGGCTAGCTTCCAGATTCCTCACTGGGACGAATCCGCCGCCCTTTTGCCAAGTCCGCCATGGCGGAACAGCTCTGGGCGCGAAGGAACCAATGATAGTCAACAGTGCAGCGGAGGTTTAAAATATGTGACCCAAATGTACTGTCACCCCCATGGCCCGGCTTTCCCCATGATGAAACTCTGGCCGAGGATACCTGATTATAAAACTGGAGACGTTTCCCGGGGCCACCGGTCCGGGGTAAAACCCACAACCAACAATTCACATGGCCATCATGTCAAGTCCGGCGGAAAATGAGAAGAACTTCGAGACACTGTTTCCCAGTTCCGAACATATTCGAGACACCCGGTTCATCACCAAATGCCGCTCTGGACAAGGAAGCGCGTATACGGTATGAGCGTGACCGAGCGAGCTTTGGAACCAAGTTCTTCAAGTTCTTCGGATGGATGGGCGACTTGCCCGAATGGAAAATTGGTGGGGAAAAGCTCAAGGGTAGAGCCCTGAACTGGTCCATTGGGTTCATTGCTAGCTGCGGGTTCCTGATGTTTGGCTACGATCAGGGTGTTCTGAGTGCCCTGCTCACGCTTGATTCCTTTCAGGAGGTTCTCCCACTCATGACTCCTCGCGAGAAATCAAATGATCTTTGTTGGCTGGACAATCCGACTAATACTATTCCCCATCCTACGTACTGCACAGGCGACCCAAATACCCAGGCAGCAGGAGTCGCCATATACCAGATCGGATGCTGGATGGGTTCACTCGTAATTCTGGTTTACGGTGAACGCTGGGGACGAAAGTCGAGTACATTCTGGGGTTCTTCTATTATGATTATTGGAACTATCATGCAGGCGGCCTGCTTCGACTATGGTTTGTTCGTGGCAGGTCGTGTCGTTGGGGGTATTGGCAACGGCATGGTAACGTCCAGTGAGTCTTTCCCAAGGTGTCTTCTTCTAAGACAATCATACTGATCGAAGTAGCGATTCCAACATGGCAGTCCGAATGTGCTCGGCCGCATCAGCGCGGTGTCCTGATCATGCTCTCCGGTGCTCTTATATCTGCTGGTGTTATGATCGCATACTGGGTAGATTACGAGTTTTACTTCCTGACCGGTTCTGTCCGCTGGAGGTTCCCACTGATGTTCCAATCTTTCTTTACTATTGTTGTCATGATCGGCTTACTTTATCTTCCCGATTCCCCCAGATGGCTCACCATGCAAGGACGCCATGCTGAGGCTCGCGATGTCACTGCTCGACTTGTCGGTAAGTCAGAAGACCATCCAGAGGTTGAAGAAGAGTTACGCAACATCAATGAAGCGTTGGAGGTCCAGAGTCGGGGCGGTAGCTTCAAGTACCGCGAGCTGCTCACTAATGGACCGTCTCAAAACCTCCGTCGTTCTGCTTTGGCCATGGTCTCTCAATTCTTCCAACAGATGTGCGGTATAAATCTAGTCACATACTACGCGACCGCGATCTTTGAAAACTCTCTCGGTTTCGGGCCATCAATGGCGCGTCTTTTGGCCGCCTGTAATGGAACAGAGTACTTCATGGCGTCACTCATAGCTCTGCCACTCATCGAACGGACCGGTCGACGGAAGCTGATGATAATCGGTGCCTCTGGGATGATGGCGTCGATGGCGATACTAGCTGGTACTGTATCGACCGGAGAAATAATGGAAAACGGATCGCCCAAGCTGGAGACAAAGTACGGCGTCACGGCGACTGTGTTCTTGTTCGTTTTCAACTCGTTCTTCGCCATTGGTTGGTTGGGGATGACCTGGCTGTATCCCGCTGAGATCACAAACCTTCGCATTCGCATCCAGGCGAACGCTCTGTCGACCAGTTCCAACTGGATGTCCAATTTCCTTATTGTCATGATTACACCCCCCGCCTTTGCGAACTTAGGATACCAGACATACATCATTTTCGCAGTCTTCAATGCTGCACTTATTCCCTGCGTTTATCTCTTCTTCCCTGAAACCAAGGGCCGAACACTTGAAGAGCTAGATGTGGTTTTCGCTAGTGCTAATGCTCAGGGCATCTCGCCTGTGAAGCAGAGTTTGCAGATGCCGAAATTGACTGGCGAGAGTCTGGACCGCGAGTTGGCGCGCTACTTCGGTACCAGCAGTGATGAAGAGGCTTCAAGGGAGGATTAGATGGCATTCTTAGGATCTTAAATTGGTGGTTTGCCATCTAGCGGACTAGCTTTTTCTTTTCTTTTTTTTTTTTTCCGCACTAGAACAGTTTTGGCTTGACATTGACGTTTATAGAGACCTGGGATTTATATAGGCGGAGCGGCAATGTACATGTTTTCTTCTCCGAGCTCTTTTTGATAGAGGAAATTGGAATATTTTACATACAGCTGTACAGGGCATACATCGCCTATACGCCGCCCCATGAACCCCACTCACCAATCCGAAGCTTTAGACCGTCCCGCCTCAACCTGGACTCTAAGCAGAATCCCACTCAAAACCCATCAACCCCGTCCCATCCCAACACCCAACATACTCACAATCCAAGCCCCCAGCTTTCAAAATACTCGTCTCCACCCACAAGCAAATGCCCCCAGTCTCAGCTAACTCCCCACCAGGCCCATAAGCCTTCAAAAAGTCCTTCCTGAGCTGCACATGCACTTTACTCATCCTCCCCATGCGCTCCATACACTCCATATCCAGAAAATAGAACAGCTGCACCTTGCGATTATAACCGAACTCCTCGGGCTCCCCATCCCGAAACCTCCCACTTCGCGGGTCATAACACATTCGCTTATCCAAAAGCCCCGTCTCCGAGCCCGCAGACTGTAACTCACTCAACCATCCCGTAGCAGACGCATCAAACTTCCCAAACCACGTTTCCCGTTCCACATCCGTAAGACCCGAATGATCTTGCCCTTCGACCACGAAGCACAGATTCTCCGGAAAACGGGTCATGCGCACTCGACCATGTCTTATGTCCCCCGTGCCATCCCTCTTCCGCGGCGGCCCCTTTAACGGACTAGGTAACCTTCCTTCAGGACCACTAGCAGACGCGATCGCAGGGATACGGTGATAGTAACAACCCCAATACCCAGTCTTATCCACAAGGGGCGCACAGGGTCCCAGACAACCCATCCCGATGTTCTGGGGCTTGTTTGTAGCGTGTTGGGTTCTGTCAGATGCCACGGTGATGGTCTCACGGTATATGCCTGCGTCGTCCGGGAGGGAGCCCCAGAAGGTCATTACGGGGTCGCTGTGCCACCATCTTTCGTAGTCGGCTTTGGTGGGCCAGTAGGTGAGGTGGATTGTTGTCGTTAGGGGGCCCGGGCCCGGGTGGGCTAGGGTTGAGGTGTTTCCGGGGGGCAGGTGTGGTGTTAGGAGGGCAGTGAGTTGGGTGCTTAGCGGCGAGGGGATGTCTGTGGAGTGTTGTTGGATTCCGAATATGGTGTAGACTATTGAGGATGTTTTGAGAGGCGTTAGGGCGTACATTGTTGGGATTGTTCTTGATCTGGGGATGAAGGGGATATTATGAATACGGGGGTGCACTGGTGGGCTGGCACGGTGACGCGTGTCTTCGGGCTTATGAAGGTACTTTATGGGATTCTTTTATTGTCTTGCAACCTGGTTCTCGGCCCGGTCTCGAACGTCCGCTTTGTTCGGAGATGATCGATTTGTAGAAGACCAGTAGCAGGTTAGTAGTACCATTTGGGGAATCAATTGGTCATACAATGCTCCTCGTATCAGCCCATAACCGAGATGTGGGGATTTACAATTACTACCCTACAGGGAATACCCATGAATGGAGACTCCACAAAACAACATTGGCTGAGTTCGGTCAAAGTGATCGAGATCCGGTCTATGAAATCCTGCAGAAACTATCTTTCCGACGAACCGTAGAAACATCTACAGGTACTTTATCTGCTCAGCCTTTCAGGAATTCTCTTCAGCAGGATATACTTTGTACGAGGTTTGACAGAGGATTAAAAGCAGGTCACCTGTATACAAATCCCGGGTTCCATGGAACTTGGCAAGCCAGAACGTTGCATCGCCCTTGGAAAGTATATTGGTCGGTATGACATTATGTGGCGATTCATGACGGGCCTCTTAGAGTTAGGGAATGCCTCGATCACGAGCCATGCGACCTGCTCGGTCCAGCCCACGCCAGGCTAATAATACACGGTGTTGGAACCATAGTTCATGTTTGAACAGTCAATATGAGCCATTGTTTGGCGATGCTTCTCATCTTCGAGGCTTAAACCAACCGTGAGGTGATTGAGCCGTTATTGAAAAAAGTAGCACCTAACTGGGAGTTGAAATGGATTTCGACAGCGAATCCTCGAGACTAGAGCACACTAACGCAAGCTTGCCCTGGAGGCACTAGCTAAGGTGTTCCTGAATTTCTTCGTGCTGTAGTTGCCAAGGCACACCCACACCACTCACCAGGGTCACCATCAAGGCAATAAGAATGAAACGCTCCTTATGCAAAGGGGGATCATGCGGGGGTTGCGGCGAAACTCGAGGTTGGAAGAGAGCATTCTTCTGGCCGTGATGTCCCAGGTCGAAATTGATAAAAGTATGCAACGCTCCCAATCAATTTTGTTGAAAGCCTCGTCTTCTTTCTTGCAGAGGAGTCAAAAGCCTTGTATGCGCCACGCCTTATTTGCCGACAAGAAACCCTCCCAGTAGGTGTAATATTGATTCAGTGGCATCGCATCGTGGAAACCACCCCAAAGAGACGATGAGAAATACGGAGAAAGTCCTCCATTATTGAGACTTCGCTTGATGGGTGTTTCGACCAATGATTGCCATCTGTTGAATGTCAACATTAAGTCAGGGTCATGCTTTCGGCTGCAACAACCTCTCTAGTCTACAACTTAGGGTTAGCGATACCATTGAAATATCACGCGAGTCGGCTGCTAGTTAGTGGAGACCTTCTAGTGTTGTAGGATCCGAACCAAAACTCAAGCTAGCGTCTCAAGATTACAACCTTATCTACGAATTCAATTGTTTTGTATCCGCTGCAACATTAACGTTTGGCTCAGACATTCCAGATCTGCCTGCGGCACCATCGAAGCCAGAACAAGATCTGAGAGACGACTATGATAATAATATGAAGCGGAGGTACAGGAAGAAAACACAGTGTTACCATGATAGCCAACTTAGCCTCTATACATCAGAGGCATAAGATGCTTAATATAACTCAATCCAACCTCCAATCTATTCTGTACTAGCAGTTCCTCTACCAAAAGCTCAAACCCTCCTTAAATTGTTTGAGATATTTTTAGCTAAAATCCCACAAGTAGAGCTCCTTAGCCATTTCTTGCCCTGAAACCTTTTGACAGTATATGAGTAGTCCCTTATAATAACCCACTTTTACCACCATCTATGCATCCCGCAAAATCAGTCCCGCATGCGTACATACTTTGTATGTAGCCCCGTCGCAACCATCACACGGTCCCCATTTTCCTTGACCTTCTCAATCTCCACCGATACGAACGCCAGCGTTCCCCCAACTTTCAGCGCCCGCCCTGTAATTTCCAGAGCCTCCCCCTGCGTCGCCGACGAGAGATACGAGACATGCAAATCAGTGCTCACGCCAGTATAACTAGCGCCATGCGACGCGATGGCCATCCCCGCCGCCCAATCGACGAGGCACGCAGACAGCGTGCCATGTAGACCCCCTTTGGAGTTGGTGTGATTCTCGGTTACTCGCAAACTGGCGTGGATGGTCCCCGGCGAGGCCTCGGTGATTGTAATATTGTCTAGCAGGAGGGCGTAGATGGGGCTGTTGGCGCGTTGCGCATCCCAGACATCGCAGACATGGTTTAATGTGGAGTTCATTTTGATATGTTATGGAACTGTATAAGGATTGCGGAATATGTTGAATGAGGGTTGTCTGGCTGGGGTTGCTCTCACTCTTTATTGGGGCTTTCTCGGACCGGGGCCTATCCGAACCGACCGGACGGGGCCCGTCTATCGGCTCATCCGATGGATGTATTCGAGGAATTATTGCAAATATGAATATTCACCTCAAGAAACGAAAAAGCTAGTCAATGTTTGTAAACTGGAATGGTATACCTCCGTGCTCTGATACATATATGTATCCCTATACTCACTCTCCACCCTTGCCAATGCTCAAAGCAAAGAAAGAACCTATGGAGAATATCCGTTTCACGAGTACATGATGGTTTACATAAACAGTAGATCACAACATAAACAATTTAATCTAATAGCTCTATACTAACAAGGGAAATTGACACATATATTCATCTTCCGGGTCCACCTCGAAATCAAACCGCACCAGGTCCTCTTTATACGGAAACATGTATGTTGAAGTCACCCTACAGTAAATTGGGACACTTAGTACACCAACCACCAATATTCGCGCTTAAGGACAAAAACGTACCAGTGATGCTCCTGACTAGCCTGGTACTCAGCTAAAGCGGCTTGGTTCTCATGATAGCTCACAAGAGCGATCTGGAATCCTTTGCTGCGATCAATCGGGTCGGTGACACTGGGACCCCCGACGATGAGTCTTCCCGCTTTGACGCAGGATAGTTTCTTCAACTTTTTTAGTTCGGTGACAAAGGTCTTCCTGTGCTCCTCGCTGACATCGGAGCGGAACTTGAACAGCACTGCATGAGTGTATTAGAAACATTGGGTGTGTCCTGGGAGCTTGGAGTCCAACTCACCGATGTGGATGAGAGTCATTATGGAGAACTCGATTGTCTATAGGATGACTGGGAAGATGGTTATTTGGAGTTAGTTTGTGTAAAGAATAGAATATGTGGGTTTAAATAAGTGTGAACTCGGCGTAGGATTGCGGTGTTCATGGTCTGCGGATGGAAGCCGTCGGTGCGGATGCGCTCCGCTCTCCCGAATAGCGGCATATATGAGACACCTCGATACTAGTGTTTGGATTCAACAACGCCAAAGTAAAGTGCTATCCTTCGTGATATCGGTCTAATCAGAACGATGACAAATGTATAAAATACCTCGCGGGCCATTGTACAGGTCATCGAATGAGCAAACCTACCACGCGAATTCCGTTGTCTGTCCCTCTCAGAACATTCAATTCTTCAAGACCCGGCCGGAAGTATGGCACAAGATGCTGAAGGGATCGTTTTGATTGCGCATTCGACTCTGGGGACTGTGTTTGTGCATTCAGCGAATGGAGAACTGGTTCTAAAGATCAAGAGCCATAGGGGGGTCCATATGACCAATGGGACGTGGGGTGGTCCGTTGATGAACGTGCTCTATATAGTTAAAAGTGAAGGACACTACAACCGCAATCAATGTAGAGGTTCCACCGGGTTGGCCAAAAATTAGCTGGCTACCTGTAGGTTACTTGACGAGTCCTGTACTAGATCCAGACATACTCTCCAACTTTTTATTTCAAATATAAAATAGTATATAAATTACTAATAGTGAAATATTCTTTCAGGGCGAAGTGGTAATAGGCCCAGATGATCGGCGTTTTAGTGCGCGTCCTAGGCATACAGTTCCATACGTGGCAGTGACTAGACTTAACCCTAGGAGCCTCCTATAGAAGGCGCACGCATTCTCCAGATAATAAATCATCTCCTACTATCATAGCTTCTCTTTATCGTTGCATTGTCTTTTCCTTTCTTCTGTTAGCTGCAAACTAGAGCGATTATTGCCACTCTAAGATTCAAAACAAGAACTCCTGAGACCTGACTCTAGGGCTACGGGCCTGGAACCTTCCTCCAGGGGCGAACTGTTTAGTAAGCATACCCTTACCTCGGGTCTTTCAGTTGCAAATCGATCTAGGGCATGGCAATGAGACTCAAGTCCAACAGCCCGCACTGCATTATCTTTCACATTCTAATTTTCACGGGGACACTTAAAAACTTACACGTCTTGGCAGCTGTGTGAATCTCCGCTCTCCGGATCCCTTCCCGCAAGCACTCATGGCAAGTCATCTAGATCAACCTTCCATCGGTCCGGAGAACCCTCCACCCCAACTGGAATGTCCTATGCAGCCCACTGCAGAACAAAGTGACCATGACATAGCCTATCATCCCTCCCATAAGCGGAATGCCTGTACAACCTGTCGGCGGATGAAGTCCAAATGTGACATGGAAAAGCCTACCTGTGGAGCTTGCTCTAAATATAACCGAGCATGCACCTACGAGGCAACGCGGAAGAAAAGTGGTCCAAAGCGAGGATATACGGCCGTCCTGGGTTCTCGATTAGGTAGGTCTGAAAACCGGCGAAGTCATGTAATTAGGTTATGAATACTAATGTTGCTCGCTCATTGAACAGCACAGGTGGAGGCACTGATTAGTACCCAAATGCTTGGTATTGCAGGGAATCAACCCCCTTCTGCCACTTTTCTGGACGAATGGGTGGATGGAGCCGCTGGCACTAATATGAACGATACTGGTTCTCATCCAAACTCAACGGCAGAAACCGATTCCTCGCCATCAAGCGCGACTGACGGGACATATCCAGGACCCGCCGTCGCGATGGATATGATTAGTTTAGGGTTAGAAGAACCTCTCCCAGATAAAGACGTTATTGATGACCTGCATGTCTCCTAACTCCCGTATCTCAAAGTGGGATTCTGCTAATATATACAGGAACCGGATCTACTTCGAAGATGTCCACATTTATATGCAGATCATACATCATCAGAGGCACCTGGCTGCGTTGAGCAATGCCGCTCATGCCCAGCCCCCAATTTGTCTTCAATACATGATCTGGTGCCATGCAGCCCTAGTCAGCGAAAAATACAATCCCCTACATCCAGCATTCTACGAAAGAGCCCGCAAGTACGCCGAGGCGGATGAGATGAAAGGCTATGGCGCAGGGATCCTCTCATTATCACATGCTCAAACATGGCTCCTTATCACTGTGTACGAGTACAAGATGATGTTCTTTCCGAGGGCTTGGTTAAGCTGTGGAAAGGCATCTAGGCTCGCGATTATGCTAGGGCTGCATCAGCTAGACAGCCCGAATCCCCAGGCAAAACAGTGCTTCATGCCTTCTACGGATTGGGTGGAGAAGGAAGAGCGACGGAGGGTCTTTTGGATGACATTTTGTATTGATAAATTTGCCACCATTGGAACAGGCTGGCCTGTCGGGGTCGACGAGGCAGAAGTAAGCTCTCAATCTTGTCCTCAAATGCGAGTGGCGTATTAATAAGTACAGGTCATGACAAATCTCCCTGCTAGTGAGGAAGCCTTTATTACAGGCCAGTCGGAGCCAACGGCATGTCTTAGTGATGTTTTAAAGGGAGAGGGACTCGCAACATTGTCCCCTTCGGCAAGTGTCGGCTTCGTGTCGTGCATCTTCGGCCGAATTACAAACCATCTTCGCCTCCCTCACTCGCAGAACGACGATAGTTATAGTACTGGAGGCTTTTGGCAGCGGCACAGGTCTTGCGACGAGATTCTGCTCAATTTTGCTCTGTCAATGCCAAATCATCTCCGTCTTCCCAATGGGATGGGCGATCCCAATATCATTTTCTGTAACATTGCTCTTCAAACGGCCGTTATATGCCTTCATCAAGCTGCGATCTACAGAGCGGAGTGGAACAACATATCAGAGTTTCCGATTGTTGAAAGCAAGCTAAGGTGCAGTGCTGCTGCTCAGCAAATTCTGGAGATTATAAAGATGGTTGGTCCTATAAGCATGAGCAAGGTAAGCTTTCTTCTAGTCAGTTGAAACACTTCGTAAATCACTGACGGGGTGTAGGTGAATCCTTTTGTGTCATTCTGTGTCTATGTGGCAGCACGCGTGTACATTCAGCATCTCAAGCTTCATCCTGATGATACAGAAGCCCACTCTGCTTTCCAGTTCTTCCGTTCGGTTATTAATACCCTCAAAGCTACAAATCCCCTAGCTGAATCCTTCCTCTTCCAGTTGGATGTTGACAGTGAAGGAAGGTCTTTCGAAGGCCTTCGGCTACCGACAAACAATTTCCCCATTTCGATGCTTTCTCCTAGCAACCTATAGCAAGACTGGATTTGGTTATACAATGATCCCTTTCTCCTTGGAACTTATATATAATCTACACATTCAATTGATCCCTGCTTTGTATCGTGTTGCGTTCACGTAAGTAGTCATTCATCTTTGTACCCTAAGTAGCCAGCTTCCAACATACATATTAATATCAGAAGCTTGAGATTCACAATATTTAAGAATACACATATCATTAACACATTCTGGATTTAGAGTAACAGCAACAGAATAAGATGTCTCTCCGGTACCAAAATACTCTATCCCAAAGACCACCTGTTCATCAGCCATCGCTTAAACTAGCCCACTGGATGCCTGGAAGCTACCAAGTTATTAATCCACCCTCCCATTTTATTCACAATACCTCAGATCAGCCAAATAATCCCAAGAAAGAACGTAGATCACATCCCCTTATCGACCCTGGCCACAAGGTTAGGGTTGTCGCAAGGCCCCACAAAATAGTGGAGAAGAGTAAGAGTCGGGGCAACAATCTCTCCGATGCAGCCCTAGGAAATCTTAAATTCCTACCAATAATTATTTTTCAAGACTAACCAAATCTAGGTTACGTTGCGTAGGTTAGATGGTCTTCTGGTGCTGGTCTTCTTATCCTAGGTTGATTAGAGACGCTACTTTGCTTTTCTAATTTTTGGGGATCTAGAATCCCATAGTGGAGCTGTTCCTAAGAGTAGGTCTTCTGTGTCTATCATGATTGTATAACATTGTCCGTGACTCTGCAGTTTAGTGACTATATTAGGTATTCAGCCTCTGCGGAGCTACTATCTTTGTCTCAGAGATTGGATTGGTGCTAGAGAGCATTATCCTCGAAAATCCATAGACAGACGTGTTTAAATTATAGAATAGCAAGATCAACTACTATAAAATACATTGATTCGCAAAGTTTATACAGCAAAGCGCTCAATGGGGTTGAGTCCCATGCTCCAGCTGGGATCGAATAGAGGAGACAGCGTCACCAACACAGACAGCACAGTTGTTAGACTATTCATAATCAGCATTGGTAGAGGACTTAGAATCCATAAGGAGCAGGACACACCTGAGTAGGAACCAAATCAGCGATAGCGCTGCTCACGCACTGAAGGTCAGAAGCAATGTCTGAGCCCCTACCAACGATAGCAGCATTACAACTCTTGACGGCCGGAATGAGTTGCTGGAAGCAAGCTTTTGGCAGAGGGTATTAGCTTTCAGTTGAGCTCACAATCTTATTCCTAAGGGAACGAACCGGGAACGCTGCAGTTGCCCGTGACTAGGAGGGACTCGAGCACTGGTCCGGCATCCTGTACAATTTTGGAGGCATTGAAGGCTTGGAGGATATTGTGCAGGTCGGGAGTCTCCGTCGGAGCGGCCATCGCGGCGCTGGTACAAAGCGCCACAGCTAGAGTAGAAACGCGCATGGTGAAGTGAAAATGGATAGGATAGTGTTGTGAGCGTCTTTTATTGTTCTCTTGAGAGAAAGTGGGTTGGGTGTGGTCGGCTTATATACCCTTGGCCTGGAGTTGTCTATAATCCGTGTGACCAGTTCCTGCTGATCATATCACTTTTGGTTCCTGAATGCCGCTCGTGGTTCTCCTGTGGGTAGGGGTTTAGTGGATAGTATTGTTACTACCTATTGAATAGTAATCATAACAACAATGACAATGTCCTCGGGGAACTCTTGGTCATCCTCGTAAGCCTTGTCTGGCCCTATCTCTTTGAACGACTTAAGGGGGATGTGGGCCAACCGGTGGGCCGTCTTTCTCCAATACCCCTGGCCACTGCAACCTCATGTTTTACAGGTAGAATCTAAACGGACTAAAAAGTGGAGTACAAGCGATAGGAGACCCTGTGCTCCTGATTGTCAAGGAAATATGATTGTATACTGCGACTAAGCCGAGGTGAATGGAATATGCTCTTCATGATCATCAGCCTGGAATGGTGCATTATACAGCGTACTCCACATTAAACCAGAAAGTCAGATCTATTGAAATTCGTACATCACATCGGAAATCCCTCATCATTGCAATTGCGAATGTGGTTCAGGAATTGAACCCGCTATCGAGCAAATTCTCTTTGCTCCACCCTGGCAAATTTTGCTTCAGCACCCTGCTCCTCACTCATACCGCCCGGGTTGGGTTGAACATCACCCTGTGGCGACTGCCTGGCCATCGGAACAATATCCCAGACAGAAGGGGTTTCTTTGAATACTCTGTCAATCAGTTTTAGGTTACTATTCATAGTCTCTGGAAAGAAGGGAAGCACAATCAGAGGAAAACATGCAGATGTGGTGGCAAAAACTATATAATATCTCCATCCAACACTTGATAACGCAACCGATGTAACCATGGTGATGATAAGTGGGCAGGGCCAACCTCAGTGCAAAACAGGATGTTCCCCTTCAGGAAGCGGAATGGATAACAGAAATTGAATACGAATAGAAATACGGCGGCAACGATTGAGGCGACATGGTTTGGCGCAGGAAAGCTCGCGGCAGCAGCCATAGCGACCATACAGATCGACATGCTAGTCCCACTTATAACGAAGATTCACCATCTGCCTAGACGGTCGACTGCAAGACATGCTATAAACAAGCAAAGGAATTTCCAGGTAAAGGAGGTGGCGGCCACAGTCGCTGGGATATCGCTTTGGAGGTGCAGGTGATTATCGAAGATACCTGTCATGTAGATCTAGATCAAATTTCCGCCAAAGAGTTGTTGAAATGTTTGTATAATGCAAATTGGTATGATACAAGCAGACAAAACGGCTTGCGTAGGAACTCTCTTGCACAGCAAACGGCAGCATCCGATAGATAATGTCTAGGAGAGGTAATTGGTCTATAAGTATAGTGGGACTACTTCAATAGATCTAATTGGCGGGTATAATAGTGCGTAGTTTATAATTCGGTCGCCTAGGATTTGGTTGATCAGCTGTCCCATACATCAGTACACTTTATAGCACGCAAATATTCCCAGCCAGAGTTATTGGTTATCTTCCCTACTTTACTGTTGCTAGCAATAGATCTAATATTCTGAAGTATATCAAAATCCACTGCTTTACGGTAGTAGGGCTCTCCGAAGAAAGCTCTGGTATACATATTTATCAGCACCATAAGATCTATCCGGTCACAGCTTTCGGTAGTAATATCCAAAACAGAACACTCGCACAGCTAAGTCAGATACTATCTGAGATTTGACCAGATTTTATGATATACTGTATGTCTTTCCAAGTAAATTTGCATATATTCCTAACTCAATCTGACAAGAAGTCAGGAGTTATCCTTTCCCTTGTTATACTCCATACCTGTCTCCTGGTCTTCCTCTAGTCGCTACTACCTAGTACTAGTCGGTGCTATGTTTGGAATCTTCATTGGTCTGGTTTTGTGCTGCAGCCTGCAGGTACTACGTAAGATGTTGCCAAGCATTGTGGTATGAGGGACAGCCACATACCCCTGGCTGGGTATGTTGAATGAATGAAAGTTCCATGCTAAAATCCTATCGGCTGATGAATCCCTTTTCAAAGGCCTACCCGATCTTAACTTAATTATGAGCTATCCAATAATCCTTTACCCTGAGGGTGTTCAACGGCCCATGGTCGCGTTTGGTTCCTCCGGTCTCGTTTGTCGCGACTCCCGCAATGATGCCGAAGTTTTAAAAAGTCCGCTTCGGTATAATTTGAGTAGATGTAGCGAAAGTACCGTGATCTTTATAAAAGAGGAAGAGTCGTTCTCTTCAGCATGCATAGAGAGAGAGAAATTTATTTACCAGTCTCTTCCCAAACACAAGGATATTCTCGAGTGCCTTGGTATCACAGAGGCTGGTATTCGATTTCCATATATACAGACTGGACATCTGCGTGATTATATTCGAAAGAATTCTTCGTGTCTGGATAGTCAGACTAAGAATACTTGGATACGAAGCGCCGTTCATGCAACTGAATTCGTTCATCGCCATTCCATTGTACACGGAGATATTAGTGCCCGCAGTTTCCTGTTGCAGACGATCTGTCAATCAAGCTTTGCGACTTTGCAGGCTCTGGCATCGATAATATGCCTTCATTCGTGACGGAAGAAGACCGATACAGAAAGTCGCCAGACTCGCCTCGGACGTTCCAGACAGACTTGTTCGCTCTTGGATGCCTTATATTCGAGATTGTGGTTGGCTCACGCCCGTATGAAGAAATCGCTGATAAAGACTGGGAAAAAATTGCGGAAAACTACGACCGCGGGATCTTTCCCCCGGTGGAGGGCTTGAAATATGGGGAGATCATTTACAAATGCTGGACGTCCCAATATATGGATGCCCGCCAACTCCTATCGGATATCGAGAACATCGACGACACAAAAGTGGATCTGTTGTCATTTTTGATAGTCAACTACCCAGAACGGGCCCTTCTCCCACTTGGACTAGTGTCAGCTTGTATGCTTGCCTTTTGTATTTACCAGAGACACAAATAAGCTTAAAAAATACTTTTTTAAGCTTATCAATTCACCTGAACATATGGTCCTTGACAAGCTGGTCGGCAGACTCAACAACCCATGTTTGACAGTTGCTTTGAGTGACATTCATACCAAAACTGCTCTCTGATACCTAGTTAGACTTACAAACCAGTGTTTTGGGTGGGTCGGGAGAGGGGGGGGGAGAGAAGGATAATGAGTTTACGATGTATATATACTTCCACCCGCCATTTGTTCACAAGTTTTGATATTAAGTTCCCTATCTATTGCAGTTAACCCAACCTTTCCCTATAGCCTCCCCGTTTCGGTAATGACGAGGGAAGGGGAGATCAATGTTGGTAAGTTAATCAAGTCTACACCTGATGATACTATTAATATTAGCTCTTGTTCCATGAAGGTATTGTGACAACAGTGTCATTGGACTATGAAATTCTGCTTGCAGATGCTCATTCTGGAAGGGTTGGGGAAAAAGGGTAACTGACAACTTTTCTTATCACCAATAGTTTTCAAACACTTCTCAGAGGCTTTTGTTTTAAAAGCACTGGCCTTGAATTGACAGGCTGGAAAATGGCAACGACAATACTTGATCCAGACTGAGATTTCTTCATATTAATTTCTTTATGTACTTAGAATGCAAATGAATGCAGCATTCATCAACCAACGGTTGTGTAGTGTAATGGTTAGCACCCAGGATTCTGATTCCTGTAATCCCGGTTCGATCCCGGGCACGACCTGATTTCTTTTTGCGCATTTCCCCCCAGCCCTGGATATCGGGGGAATCACCAATATCTTAAATTTTATTTTTAAAATCTTTAATTTCTGTCCCGCCTATCGGAAAGGGCCGCTCCGCATTATCTCCGTATGCCTGTAAATTTACTGGGTCGAGTCGTCGGCGAGCCGGCAAACCACATGTATACCGCGCTTGCCACGAGCCCTAAGCCGAGAAGCAAAACAGCATTCATGCCCAACCCTCGGGCAAGTAAGCCGCGATAATTTAGAGCTGTGGATCCCCTGTCGATCGAACTCAATCTCTCTGACAAGGATACCATCAGGGTCCATGTGTCTATTGTAATTCTGCCCGGCGAAGCTTGGCCGATGGCCATCAGATGGGCGTACTGGGGGTTAGCCTGGAGTCTTACGTGTTGGCCTTCGTCTCTGTCCAGGTAAATTTGGAGAGATTGGCCAGTGTAATTGATACATCTTAGGTTGTTTACATGTCGCTATTCTATTGCTCGTCTCGGGATACCCTAGTGACACCGAAGACTGTCTCTTTCACAGTGGTACGACGACCACACTCTGCCGGGTAGTTCTTGCTACTCCATTGCAAGCAATAAACTTCAACTTTAAGCACATTACACAGTATCTGCATGAAGGTACTGCGTTGCTGCTTTGACGTTGCGAAACGATGCCAAGAGAGGCGGCCGATGTAGCCCGACTCGGCCATCGGCAGCCGGCGAAGTTGGACGGAGTGTCTGGACTCTGTACTATGATTCATACGGTGGATTCGTACTCAGCATATGACAGCGAAAATTTTCACGATGAAGAATCGGATAGAATGAAAAAGCTGAGGAGACAGCTGTTGAACAAGGGTATGATTGGTCCAAGCTCTGTATCCTCTCGTGGGACCCGATGGTGGCATATGCGGCCGTTTGATAATTGGAATCACAACCATGGTTTGGCAATGCCTTGGCTGCAAAAAGAGAGAGGACGAGACTGACTAGATTTACATGAAGGAAACGTGATCCTCGTTGGGAGGCATCATATAAAGCTAGACAGAGCACAAAGGAAAATCACTCTCTTGTTGTATAGACTCATTACATCTAAACTTACACATAGACTTGATACTGCATACTGAATGGACCAACTTGAACTTGTACCCTCTCATCCCGCCTGGTCCTACCCAGAAGGTGGACTCCAGGCCAACCTCGTCGTCCTGGGCAGCTTCAGCTCTATCATGGGTGGCCTGGGTTTGATGAATAGTATCGGTATCTATCAGGCATGGATCTCAACGCACCAACTATCTCACCTTAGTGAAAGCCAAATAAGCTGGATCTTTGGCATATACAACTTTCTCGTCTTTTTCTGTGGTATCCAGATTGGCCCGGTCTTCGACGCCAAAGGGCCCCGTCTCCTTATGCTTACGGGCTCAATCCTCCTCGTCCTCACCCTTGTCCTGGTAGGATTCTGTCAAGTGTACTGGCACTTTTTAGTGGTAATAGGTATCATTGGCGGAGTGGGAACCTCATTCATCTTCATCGTTCCTGTTGCCACTATCGGTCACTTCTTCAGTGTCCGCCGAGGAGGCGCAACTGGCTTAGCCATGTCTGGTGGCAGCATCGGCGGCGTGATCTTTCCATTGGTCTTGGAGTATCTAGCGCCTCAGATCGGATTCGCATGGGCAACAAGAGTGATCGCACTTATTACCCTTATTCTCCTAATCCCAGGATGTGTCTTACTCAAAGCTCGTCTTCCGCCGAAGTCATCTACCGCCACCTCCCTGCTCCCCGACCTTAAGATCCTAAAGGACCCGGCCCTAGCCCTCACTACCCTCGGCGCGTTCTTCATCGAATGGGGCTTCTTCATCCCCCTCGAATACATCACATCATATTCCCTGACCTACGGGATCTCCAGCCGCCTAGCCTACCTGATGGTAGTGTTCCTCAACGCCGGCTCATTCCCTGGCCGCTGGATACCGGGAATTCTGGCCGACCGAATCGGCCGGTTCGAGATGTTGGCCCTGACGAATATCTTCTGCCTCATCGCGGTCTTAGGTGTCTGGATGCCGGCCAATGGAAACGTTGCTGCGACGGTTATATTTTCTGTTGTGTTTGGTATTGGATCGGGGAGTAATATTAGCCTGGTACCGGTGTGCGTCGGCGAACTATGTCCCACCGAACAGTACGGACGGTTTTATACAACCGTTTATACGATTGTAAGCTTAGGGTATGCTCATGTCTCCTTCTCCTTCTCTGGTTGTATGAATACACTGCTGACTGGCTTAGGGCATTGACTGGAGTTCCTATCGCAGGGGAAATTATTCATCGGTGTAATGGGGAGTACTGGGGATTGATCGCGTTTGCTGGGTGCGCTTACGCTGCAGGCTTAGTATGTTTTATCGGCGTGTTGTGGTTGAAGCGGACGAGGGGGAAGAGTACTGTGTAATGAGTGAAATGCCTGATGTAGATGATTGATTAATAATACAATGCAAATTCATATTGGAAGTGTTGGGGTAAAGAGCATATTAACTGTGAAAGTATCTTGATTCCTTGAAGGTAGAATTGGTGCCCATGTACTTCTTTGGAAGGGTAGTATGTATGCTTTCCGGCCCGATGCGTTCGGGAAGCCGGCTTTCCTCAAGATCAGTCAGAGCGCTTCATCAGCTGTGATGTCTTACTGAGGGCATCAATTGCTGTTTTGTCTTAAATAGCCTTGCTGTGTAAAAGTCTGTCTATCGAGCCCGACAAGAGACTGTTCTACCTTATCCATTTTGAATGCAAGCTAGTTTCCTTGGTATTAACGAATTTGAACTGCGTACTATAGATTTTGGTATTGTAAAACACTAGTAACTGCGCGGTAGTTGAAGCACCTTCTCGCTCACGTAATTCAAGATCATTTCTCGGCTGACCGGTGCAATTCGGGGCACCAGACACTCTCGCAGATACCTCTCCACGTCATACTCCATCGCATAGCCCATTCCTCCATGACTGAGAACTGCCCGTTCGCACGCCTTGAAAGCTGCTTCCGCGGCAAGGTATTTGGCGCTATTACACGCCACGCCCACAGAGTGGAACGGAATCGAATCGTCCGTTTTAGAAGCATCGTACAAGCGCGCCGCGTGGTATGTTGCCAGCTTAGCCGCTTCCAATTGCATATAAGCGTCTGCTAGTGGATGCGCAATTCCCTGGTTTTGCCCGATCGGCCTTCCGAAAACTACCCGGTCGCTTGCGTACTGAGCAGCGCGTTCTAAGGCAGCGTAGCCTAGACCCAACGCTTCGCCGGCTAGAAGACATCGCTCCGCATTCATGCCGTGGAGGATGATCTTGAATCCCTCGTTCTCTTGCCCGATTAGGGTATTTTCAGGGATCTCGTAGTTGTCGAAAAACACTTCGTTAGCGTCGACCGCACGGCCTCCCATCTTCTTGATTTTGCGCATATCCAGTCCAGGCCTGCTCCGGTCCAGGTCGATGCAGAATAATGATAGACCTTGGCTCGACTTTTTTACTTCCTCTAGAGGCGTTGTTCGCGCTAGGAGGATCATTTTTGAGGCGACCTGTGCACAAGTAATCCAGATCTTCTGGCCTGAGATTGAGTAGGTTTGCTTCGTCGGGTTCTTTGTGGCGAGGGTCTTCAGCTTTAACGTTTCCAAACCGGTGTTCGGCTCTGTCACGCCAAAGCATGTCCGCCAGGTGCCATTGATGATTTTAGGGATGGTCTCTTCGAGTTGTTGTTTGGTACCGAACTTCGCCAGAGGTTGCGTGGCATACACATTTGCATGAATAGATTGAGCCCCGGCCATTCCAGCACCGGATTGAGTGATGGTCTGCATCATCATCGTTGCTTCAGATATGCCTAGCCATTTATTAATATAATGTCACTGCATTGGATTCCTTCATTGAACGTACCGAGCCCAGCTCCCCCGAGCTCTTCGGGTAGCGCAATCCCTAGCCATCCGTCCTTAGCCAACGCGGCATGGAAATCCTTGGGATCGCGTTCGTTTTGGTCACATTCTTGCCAGTATGTGTTAGGAAACTTGGCACAAATGGCTGAGATCGCCTCGCGAATGGTTAACTGCTCCTCGGTAAACCCCGTCAATTCCATCAACGGGCGTCGAGCGGAGGTGGAGAACCTCGACCGCGGCGTCGTCCATGATGCTATCGGGCTGCGTGGCAGCACTCTCCCAATAGCTGGACTGACTCTAGAGGATAGTGCTTTCTGAGCGCAATGTCGAGACATGACGAATGGATGTACAGGCTAAGTGATCGTTCGAGATGTGATTGGGAATTATAAATAAACGGTATGCGCGGCGCGAACCATGTGCCCGGCATAAACCCGCTCATCGGCACGGCATATAACCGCCGAATAACCGCTTGACCCCACCGGCCCATCAGGCCGAGGTAGGTAACTATTAAATTGAAGTATCCATTGAAGGGCTGAGTTAAAACATAGATTTTGTCCGTCGACATAATCCTGTCTAGATAATTCTCATTAATCTATCCCAGAATGGGTCCCATGCGACCGCTATCTCAGGCGGTGGGTCTTCGGCTACCAGGCGCTCGCAGCGTTTCAACCCAGGCCTCACCAAAGGGACCCCTCTCTGGCATCACTGTGGTCAGCCTTGAACAGGCTATTGCAGCTCCATTCTGTACGCGTCAACTGGCGGATCTGGGGGCTCGCGTTATCAAAATCGAGCGGCCTGGCGTTGGAGACTTTGCACGTAATTACGACACTCGGGTCAACGGTCTTGCATCGCATTTCGTCTGGACAAATCGGTCGAAGGAAAGTCTCGCACTAGACCTCAAGAAGCCGCGCGATCATGGGGTCCTAATGCGCCTGCTCGGTAAAGCAGACGTCCTAGTTCAGAACTTGGCTCCCGGAGCCAGTGCACGACTAGGACTGTCGCATGAAGAGCTTAAGATAAAGCACCCCTCACTGATTGTGTGCAATATCTCTGGGTACGGACCAGATGGCCCCTATCGTGATAAGAAGGCCTATGACTTGCTTATCCAGAGCGAGGCAGGCATGCTCTCTGTTACAGGGACCGCTCAAGAGCCCGCTAAAGTAGGCATTTCCATCGCGGACATTTCTGCTGGAAGCTACGCGTACTCTAACATATTGGCGGCTATCATTCAAAGGGGAAATGACCCCGAAAAACGTGGGTGTAATATCGATATCTCCATGTTGGAGAGCATGGTCGAATGGATGAGTTTTCCGCTGTACTATACCTACCAGAACGCACCAAGACCGACCCCCACAGGAGCCACACACGCTGCAGTCTACCCCTATGGGCCGTTTGAAACAGGGGATGGAAAATCGGTCATGCTTGGAATTCAGAATGAACGGGAATGGGTCAATTTCTGTGAGAAGGTTTTGTCTCTGCCTGACTTGGCGGCGGATGAACGGTTTGTCAACAACTCCCTTCGATCGCAGAACCGTGATGCACTTAAGGAAATTATTTGCGAGGCGTTCTCGTCTTTAACAGCGGAGAAAGTGGTTACCCTCTTGGATGAGGCCGCTATTGCCAATGGTAATGTCAACGACATGCAGGGTGTTTGGGAACATCCACAGCTGAAAGCGCGTGGTCGGTGGACTGAGGTTTCCACCCCGGCTGGGACGGTTCCAGCCTTGCTGCCACCGGGATTAACGCAAGGCGATCCTGGTCGATTCTCGGCCAGAATGGACGCAGTTCCGGATGTTGGAGAACATAATGCGGCGATCCTGGCGGAGTTGGGGATTGATGATGCGGGGAAGGATTCATAATTGACAAGGCTAGCAAGAAATGCCGCTCGGCGTGTAGAATTTACGCCGACGGACAAGTGCCAAGACCCATATAGCCGACTTGGCTCATGTACTTCGCTCCTCCCTCGTTGCTTCATCTCCCTTGTGCTCTTCTCATGCCAGCCGTGTGTATTCCTTTAACTCACAAGTATAAATCGTATTATAATATTATAATGACGCTTGAAGCCGACTCCGGTCGGTATCCGACTAGGAAACGCGCCCGACAGGCCTGTCTTCATTGCAATCGGCGCCGTATCCGCTGTAATGTCCTTGAGACGCGGCCTTGTCACAACTGCGTCTCTATGAATGTTCCCTGTGAAGTGGGGGTATCCAAGCGAGGAAAGTAAGCTTGATCTACATATAATGGATCCATACTTGTACCGAGGAAGTACACATGCCAATATGTTCCAGGTATCCTCGCAAGAAGGCTTTACGACAGTCGGGCACTCCACAAGAGGGAGATTCCTTAATCTCAGACTCGACTGTTTCCGCCGATAATAGTATTTTCCAGCCAGGTGACAGTTCACTTGTGCCTATCGATGCATCGGATTCTCCCGATCAGCGCCATCGTCTGGGACAACGCGGTAGCAGTGCGACACATAGCCGGAACAGCTTTGGAACTTCCTGGATATCGCCCGGAGATACGACTACCGTTTCTCATCAGACCGTGTTCTTAGGAGAATCAAGTCCCCTGACGTGTGTTATTGACGAGGGACGGCGGTCGCCTGAGAAAGGTCCGGCGAACGCTATGCAAAACACTCGTCTTCATTACCCTATCCCAGAAAGGCTGGAAGCTAATAGTACACGTGATGAAGCTCTCCGCGCACACAGGCGAAAGGTGCAAGAGCAGCTGAATGCTGACGGTGCATTTTCCTATCCCCCAACAGAAACTTGTGCCATACTACTGAGAGCCTACTTCACATGGTTCCACCCATGCTTTCCCATTCTGGACCGCTTAGCGGTCAAACAGGCATACATGCGAGGCGATATCTCTCACCTTCTGCTGCAGTCGATGCTCTTCATAGGAGTTAGTCTTTGCACTGACGACGACTTTGCTTGCACAGAGTTCTCTGTTCGATATCGAGCTAAGTTTCTCTTTTATAGTCGGGCTAAGGCCATATATGATGCCGACTGGGAGTCGAATAAAACGACTAAGCTGCAGTCATTGTTCTTGCTGAGCTCTTGGCGTGGAGGCCCGTCTGAAGAACGTGATACGCGGTTCTGGTTGGGAGTCGCTATCAGCCTGGCTCAAAAGCGTGGCATGCATATGATGTTGGTATCGGAACGATGAAGAATTGTGGCGCTGCTGACTCTCCTAGGTCCAAACTACCCTTCCCGTCCGCGCGGGAAGAGAAATTATGGAAGCGAATATGGTGGGCCCTTTATGTGGGTATTTGCTGCACCCTCATCGTATAGCTACTCTAACATAAAGGAAGATACGCGACCAGCAGAGTGCAGCAGCCTTGGGTCTTCCGCCTCGGATACGAGACGAGGACTGCGATGTGGCAATGCTTGAGCCCAGCGATATCCGTGAAGACGAAACAGTTGATGATGCAAATGTGTTTGGAGCACAGAGAGATGAAGATATAGTCTATCCGGCGCAAATGGCCAAATTAGCCAGGATATGTATGTCCGCTACACTGCCTTTCTGGCGCCCACGCTAAGAAGACAGTGCGAACTATTGTCTCGACACAATACCTTCCTGTGCAGTCCGATACCGATGAATCATCGCGCACAAAGTTACAACAAACACTATGCGAATGGGAATCATGCTTGCCTGCAGCCCTGAAACTAGAAAGTGCAACGTCCCCGAAGGCAATGTTTTTGACCGGGTTGTTGCACATGACGTACAAGTATGTGGCTGGCGTCGCGGCCTTTCCTATGAAAGCTTTCTGACTTTTCAGTAACTTGTACATTCTCCTGCACCGATCATCGTTCCTCAATTCTTCCAATTCTTCCGTGAATAAAGCAGGCCAGGTTGCGCTGGACGCCGCCACTAGGAGTACCAGGATTATTGAGGACATGCTGTCTCACAATCTTGTCCAACATGGGCCTACCCATCTGTATGTTTCATTTGCTCTTACAGGCTATTCCCCAGCCACGTGCTAATGTGATAGAATCACCCATACATTCTCAACGCTGTGTATCCATACTATCCACTGTCGACGAACGTCCGGAACAGCTAGGAAGTTGGCAGAACACCGCGCAAAGCTCTGTCTTCTTGGGCTCCAGGAGCTACAGAAAACATGGGATATAGAAAATTGGGTACTAAATCTTTTCTTCCGGTGCCTGGATGATAGCACCGCGCGTACCCTCCGGTTGACAGACATTGTCGCACCATCAGGCCAGCCAGTAAACCAGATTGAGACTACCGAGAAAAGTACCCACACAGATCAAGCTCAGGATCTGCCTACCCCGACTGAGGCCATGGATTCTATTCGTGATGACCCCACACTAGCACCTGCCCTACAACCGTCTCCGAGCATGGAGAATGCGGATATAACAGCGTCCGGTGAATGGTACGGATTGTTTAACTTTACTGATGATTTTACGGATGTCCTAGGGGCATCCTCACATCATGATTCACTCAACTTGCAAAACCTGGAATTTTTATACCGATTCCTATAACTTTGGCTTAGTGATTGATTCAAGGAAGAATTCGCCAACTTCGTGAACGAATCGTTCAACCCAAGACATTTCCCTGTGTATCTCTCACAGTAAATGTATCGACAGACTGGTCGACAGTGGGGTTCTAGTAAGTCTATCACCTATGGAATGATTCGGGCCTTCCTGAATCGATCGAATGCGGTACACCACACTTCCCGCACATCTCTTTCCTCTTTAGCATCTCCCCATGCCTGATGCGCCTTGGTAAGATCCAGCGGTCTATCGAATTCAAATAGGGACATGAGGAAGCTAGGGGCATCTGGGATGCTTATGTTATTACCCAGCAGATGTCCTGTCTGTAGGTTGTACTCCTTCTCCATCGCCAACCATTCATCCTGATGTTCATGAAGAAACGCTGTGGGATCCGGGCCGGGTCCGTTTATGGGTGCTACACCCTTCAGCCCGAAATACTGGCACATGATAGGCCATTTCACGGACCAGCTCGTCGACTGAGCCTCGTCCGCTATGTTGAAGCTCTGTCCCGCGCTTATTTCCGGGTGCAAACTAGCATGAATGGCGAACCGGGCGATGATGTCTTGGCTGCTGTCATTACTCTGGATTGTCCAACTTTTGGTTCCTGGAAAGACCACTTCCGCACCCTCGCCATGGATCTTGCGATATAAACTGAGATACAGGGCAATCCATTGCGCGATATTGTATGCATTATTGTTCGGAACGAACCCAATGATGACGTCGGGTCTTACATCGCAGTAAGTCCAGTTCTTGCCTTTGCATAGCCCTCTAAGGAGCTTGTGCTGATAGGTGTAGAATAATTGCGAGCGATATGGCTCCGGAATTTCAGGATGGGTCTCCTTGAGCGGGACGTTGTCCTTGAAGGGGAATTGCTCAAACAGATGTACACCGTAGGCCTATATCGTCATGAGTCAATATCCCTTGATTACAGGAGACCAAGGTAGCGAACCCATTCTACACACCTTTATGCCTGTTGGCAAGACCAAAAACCGGAAGCTCGGGCACAGTTTCTCGATTGCGAGCACGGTCTTATTAAGCATATCAATGTTCAACTCGGTCTCCTTCTCCGGCTTGGGATCCATGGCATAAGCACAGAAATACACCACAGTTACCGCTTTTAGATGAGAGACCCGATCAATCAACTGCTGCTCGAGCGTCTCTTGGGTGCTATGGATAAGATCCAAGCCAGACACTAAATGCAGCTTATCTGTGACTGGCCATTGCGATATCTCTGGGTCGAGAGGACGATTCGTAAAAGCAGTGATATGATCAAATGCCTTAGGATTGGGATAATCCGAGGCAAGAGCGTTCACAAAACCCCATCCGTTAACACCAGAGGCACCGAAGACCAGGGCATGTCCGTTTTTGGGGGTAGCCATGACTCCCATTTTGGTGGATAGGGCGTTTTGGGATTTTTTGTAACTGGAGAACGCGTGTGAATCTTGGGAAAGTGAATGTGCGCTTTAAGCGGGGGCAGGATTACCCATCTCCGACACTGCAGTAGCTGACTCCAGCCTCTACTATAAGACTTCATATTATGAGCTATTCGTAGAAAGCTGATAGGACGTCTTTGAACACATCTCGCCCATTGTGGGGACTATGTGCATACAGCGTTACATCACGAGACTGGGGCCCCAAGACCCTGGACTTCCGAGCACACTGAAGAGCAGTGCCTGTTTTATCCGTTGGTGGATGAATCAATCTCTGGACCTTTAGAAGAGTTTGTAGGTAAGTATATCCATACTGTGAACCTATCAGAGTGGTGGTATCAAGATGACATGCATGATGCCTCTAAACGCACTCTGACCCACTTTATTCCAAGACAGTCTTGCTGACTGCGCTTAGCATCTCCAAAGCTTTTCCACCGTCTATGTCTTGTCTTTGACGTATAATCTTAGAACCATGGGTCAAGCTTTTGGCCGCAAGGTCCATGAACTAGGGCATGCCATACTGTCAGCCATTGTATCAGATAACTGCACAATCTTCCGGGTGTGCTTAGCGAAGATTTTCTGGCTATGCTATGGTTAATGTTGAATAACATAAGATTCCTCACAGCGTTTGATCAGGGAGCTCAGGAAATGGTCCGATTTACCAAGGCAATTCAATTTGCTCCCGGAAAGGATACGTCGAAGACAAAGACCACCATTTCTATCTTGAGGCCATCCGGGACTCTTCAGCTATATATACTTTGGCCCACTCTTTACCCCAGACTCATTTACATCGGGGTTCTTATAAGCATTGTTATATACTCCGTACCCAAGGTACCAAGCGGATAGCGAAGGATAGCGGTGCATTGCATCGGTGTCGAGACCCACAGATCTGAGCCCCATATGTCGTCTACCGGATATAAACGGCAATGATCTAAAGCTTACACCCCAGGGATCCAATAATCCGGCCCTGATTTTTGACATGGGCTTTCGGGTGTCATTCACCGAGATCAGCGTCATGGTGATGGAGGTATTCTTCCATAGCATGTCTGTGACCAGGCCGGTGTGACATTATACTCCAATAATTTTACGCGGGATATTGCTGGTGACGCCATTCGCAGCGAGACAACGTGATACAGGAGCAGTTTTGAGCACCGAATTAACTCCGATTGCACCTGGCGCCATTGATCGTCCGATATTTGGCCTTCGACGGGTGGCACGGACGGACTCCGTGTCGACCACAGACCGCCTTCACTTCTCTGAGACCGGTGCAGCTATGCAACGAGAGATTGCCCATCTCAATGACGTCCTGAGATGGACGCCCCAGCCGTTGGGATGTGCATGTACTCATCTGACGTCTGAGTTGGCAATGCGTCGGGATTGTGCTGCCAGAAGGGTGGGAAAGCTGACCAGAGCCATCTGGTGGAATCCATCGAGCAAGGGGGATTGTGTACAAAAGTGGACCATTCTAGAACGTTGGTCTCCATTGAAAACTTTGGTTCGTTGTGACATAATGAGAACGGGAATCTGCTTGTTATTCCCGACGTCGGGAATAGAGTGGAGCTTCCGCTATCAAAATCCAAAATATCAACCATTGTTAGGGTTGACTCATTCCCGACCGTGGGATATTTTTCATTTCTATAAATGCATCCCCAATCACCTGTTGTGGTTGAAACCTCCCTGGTCTATATGAATTGACTTTAACATTCCGTGGTTGTTCTAGAAAAATGCCTGCCTCCTGTCCAGAGACCGAGGTTCTGCCTCAGTATAGCTTCACCGACGACTACAGCGAAGGAGCTCACCCACAATTACTTGAAGCACTTCTGCGCTCAAATTCCACCCAACAATTTTCCTATGGCAATGATGAATACAGCAATGAAGCTCGCCGGTTAATCCGGACTCGACTTCAAGCTACCGAAGATGAGGTAGACATCCACTTCGTGCCCAGCGGCACCTCCGCCAACCTGATCAGTATCGCCAGCTGTCTACGGCCCTACGAGGCAGTATTAACGGTAGACTCGGGCCACATCGTCGACAAAGAGGCCGGTGCCATCGAAGCCACCGGCCACAAGACTATCCTCGTGCCGGGTGTTCGAGGCAAAATGACCCCCGAGAATCTAGACCATGTAGTGCGCCAGCACCAATGGTGCCCTCACAACGCTAAGCCACGTTTGGTGTATATCTCCAACGCCACCGAGCTGGGGACCGTCTACACCAAACGCGAACTCCAAGAACTGTCGGCCATGTGCAAGCAGTGGAAGCTATTACTGCTTATGGACGGCGCCCGCCTCGGCGTCGCGCTCAGCGCACCGTCCAACGACGTAACCCTCCGAGATCTGGTCGACCTCCTCGACATTTTTTGGATCGGCGGTACTAAGATGGGCGCCCTCCTGGGAGAGGCAATTGTCGTGCGCTCCCATCTTGCCGAGGGGTTTGTTTTCCACTTGAAACAACGCGGAGCCTTGCTGGCCAAGGCGCGCATCATGGGCGTGCAATTTGCAGAGCTGTTCCGGGAGAACCTCTACTTTGATCTGGCGACCCATGCCAACACCATGGCGCAGCGCATCTCGGCCAACTTTGAAAAACTGGGCTATCCGTTGGCTGCACCGACTGAAACAAATCAGGTTTTTGTCACTTTGCCCACGGCGTTGGTGCGACAGCTGCAAGAGCGATTCCGGTTTTATACCTGGGATCCGTTGGATGGGGAGCGGGCTGTGATGAGGTTTGTTACCTCTTGGGCCACGGAGCCGTTGGAGGTGGATAAGCTTAATGCGTGGGTTCAGCAGTGGACGACTGTATGATGGCATGGCATTTCTTTGAGCGACTTTTGCATGTTCTCTTTCTTGATGCTGCATTTTCTGGTTGGGAGCGCATTTGAGCGATATAGATTTTAATATGACTAATTTCTTCATGACTGAATTTGGTATGTATGAGCTGCCACTATTATTGAAGGATTATATAATTGTATTATAGTATTTTCCTCCGGCTTTGAGGATTATAACAGATCCTAGAGGTGTGAAAGGGCTATTCCTTCGAACTAGATAACCTCTAGCTACAGCTTCCATAGCTAGCTCCACAACTTGGGTTCAGTGCACTCTGTTCGATCCGGTAGTATTCTTTTGGGAAGCTCGTTCTCAAGCTATATTTAAACAGGTGAACATCTTCTAGTATTGGCAATACAAGCCACGTGGTCCTGTAGCAAGGTACAGAATGCCAAGCAAACAACATGGAAGCTTTCTATGAAGCGATACTAGCACTACATCTGGAAATGAGAGGCATATATGGTGAATAAAGGCCGATATATTTTCAAACAACAACATCTACCAACCTCGAGTTACATATATTTCTACCAAGTTTCATATAAAACATCATGCCAATTCCTTACCCAGCTTCTCCAAATATTGCCTCGCGGTATCCACGACAGCATCCTCAAAGGGGCGGAACTTTATGCCCAACGCCTTCTCCGTCTCACTCGAATCATAGGAGATAGGCAAAGTAGGCATATTGCCACGCTTCAAGGTCCCATCTGCAACCGCCTTCGGGAACGCCTTCTTAACATGCCCAAAGGTCCCGGAGTAGTCGATGTCAACAGAAGCACCGAAGTTGCTAATAGACTCCGGTCCTGGCGCTAGACGTAATACTTTCAAATGAACGTCCGCCAAATCATCAATATGGACATAGCCACCATGCACTGGAAAGGGAAGCTCGGTGCCCGTTATACTGGCCATCAGGAATCGATTGGAGCTATTTTCCTCAAGGACCTCGTGCGCGGTAAGCGCCAACTCGTTATGCCCGTAGACACAGCCTGGCATGATATTGGCCACGCTGAAATGGGGTTTATTCTTTTCGACAGATGCGTCTGTTTCAATGGCTTGGGTGATATTTGCTCACGCTCCACTGTCCCTAACTTGGTGCAGAGGTTTGTCACGCTTTCTGCCACCTAGAGGGTATATCTCGTCCGCAAAACGAACGTCGTTGCAGTGTACCTCATTGGGACTAATGCGAATAATTGGACCTGGATATAGGTTAGTACCGCTTGCAATCTTTAAACTGTGAGGCGGGCAGACCGTAAATCTCGTGGAATTGTTGGATCTTCTTCGTGTATTGGCCGAATTTTATGACGTCGTAGTAGAACTCAGGGAGGTATGTTGCAGCTGCCAGCCTTGGTCCGGGTATATGGCCCAAGGGGTGGAAAGGTGAAATATTCCATTCTGCGTTAAGGACCTGGTAAACTAAGTAGCCAAAAGCAAGAGTGGAAATAAGCCAAGTAAACGAAAAGTCAACCGCGTTATCTTCGGAGTGAAACACTAGGGATATATAGTTTTTCAGTGCCATAGTAGCAAGGGAATTACGCGGGGAATATCTACCAGACAAATAGAATACCAGGAAAGACTAAAGTTCAGCATTTGTATTGCCAGATCAGTCCCCAGGTCCTTAATATACTTATCGATATCATCCTTCTTCTCGGCATTTGTTACGCTTGCCAAGCGGGCCTGAACGTCTCGGCAGAAGGGGAGTATTAACATGAGCAAGTTACGTCGTCAGGACTTGGAGGCCTAAAAGTTCCTATGGATTTGAGACTACGATCAACGCAGCTACTAGATCATGAATCGTGCTAGACACAGCCGAGATGGTGGGTTGGCGCAAGCGAATATCTCAGGCCCCAATCCTTCCACCAATCTAACGACTGTCAATATCTTATCTTCCTCCAGCATTGGCCGGCGCCTCTTTGGATATGCAGCTAATCCGCCGCTAAAAATGACACGGGCTACTACCTCCTTGGCGAAGAATGCTCCCTACGGATTCATTATCCTGGGGAGTATACCAGTAGGGATCATAGCATCTTCGACCTAGCGAGGGAACCCGGAAAAGTGAAACCCAATTAGGTACTTGATCTAATACACAGGGCATAGTAGCGCTATGATGGGTAAATCCTTCTGCTGAGTCAATTGTTCGTTTGAATCCAAGAAAGGAAGATATAGATTAACCATCTATGAACCCAGAGTCGCATGTTGATCATCTTCCGCCAACTATATATTACCCTGTTCTTGAACTTGCGTGAGAGGTTTGACTGGTTGAAGTATGTTCAATGCTTCATCAAAATGGATCTTCATCTGCAATGATGAACTCCACATATCGGTGCAAGGAATAATGGCAAAACTTGAGGATTATGTATGATTCGGCTAGGATATATATATTTTTGCTACCTAGGTAGAAGGTGGTTTTCTGCATCTCGTCCATCTATATTGCGCGCCAGCTCATATGACACCGGACAGAGGGTTTCTTCTTGGTCTTGTCATAAACCAAATATTGTGAGTGAAATGACTTATGGCATTCTTTACTATAGAATCGTATGCATCGAAACCTCTTCAAGTCACCTGACTTGTGTGGTTTGGACCGAAGGGGAAGGCGGTCCTGCAGATTCGAACCATGAACTTGCGACCGTGGAAAGGGGGTTTCGGCTTGGATGCTGCAGGGTGGATTTATGTACCGAAATGGACTTTTCTGACGAAAAAAAAAAAACTACTCTATAGTGACACCGTAGCGGAGCTTCTGTACAAATTTGAGAATCAAAAAAAAATCGCTATTCATCGAGGTATTGCGCTTGAAACTACGTCCTTGCGAATTATCACGCGATTTAAGGTTGAAATTCGGAGCGTGTTCAAATTATTCTGCCGAATGCTTCGGTGTGCTTGATCGGGATTCAGGGCCGACGTGACTAATGGGGATTGTGGGATTACTCATCTTTCCCGACATTCCCGACACAGAAACCCACGCTACCTATCAAATACTCCCGACAGATCTACAGAATGCCAATGAGATACTCCGATAATGCGTCTGTCGATATCCTGTGATGCTTGTCGGTCAGTTGTGATAAGATAACACCCCCCAATTGAGTAAACTAGTAACAATCTTGCAGGCAATCAAAGGTCAAGTGTGTCCATGACGGTCAGCCTCCCTGCCGGCGGTGTCAACGCCTCGATCGACAGTCCTGTGTACTCACAGACCCGCGGTCGTCGCCATTGCGCCCTAGACGAGACTCATTGCGTGTTCAGTCAAAGGCAAGACCAACATCTAGGTCGGGAGCGGAAAGCTGTCCCGTGAACGGAAGCAATGGCAGGCAGTGGTGCCCAGTTGCCACCTCTTCCAACCCCATTGCTTCAATCCCCTCGTCCGTCCTCATCAGTGCCTGTGATATTTATCGCAAAAAGTTTCCTGTGGCCAACTTCCTTCATTATCCGTCTTTGATTGCTGAAATCTCCACCAACCCCTCATCGGTGGATTCAGTATTCGTGGCTTCATTGCTCGCCCTATGTGCACGATTCCTGCCGGGGCATCAGTTGCAACCTGGAGAGGTATACGCCGAGTATGCGCGGGTGCAGTTAGCTCATCGGGCCTTTGAAGGTCCTTCTCTATACTTGGCACAGTCTTTGGTGATAGTCTCATTATACGAATGGGGGTCAGGCCGTCCTTATAAGGCGTGGATGTACAGCGGTAGGTAGTATATAACTTACACATTCAGTTGTGTTGAAGACTGCTCACACACATGAGAAGGAATGGCCACATACATGATTCAATCGCTCCTGAAGACTGCAGACGACAGCATGGAACACAATCCGGATGAGTTTCATTCCTCCCAGATTCAATACGAACAGCTGGTCCGCACGTACTGGTGCTGCTTCGCCCAAGACTGCGAGTTGAGCTCGGGTGCCCGTCAACACTTCGCCCTATCTTTTCGCCAGATATCGGTACCACTACCCATTGGCGACCATGATTTCAACTTTGGTCGACGAGCATCTCGTCGGCTGATGCCTGCTAATCTCACCCGAGACTCCCCTCTTTCCGCTGCCATGACCATCGATCACGGCTTAACGATCGTCACGCGCGGGTTTGACATTTTTGTGCGTATCCTGCGGTTTGCGAACGAAAGCCGTCGTGGTCGGACATCATCATCGTTGAATACCGCGCTATCGCCGCAGAAAACGTGGGAAAGTCTTAAGGAGGAACTGGATGAATGGCGATCCCTGCAGGATGTGACAGTCCGGTATCCAAGTACCAGTGCCCAAGCGCATGTGGCTCTGGGGTACGGGGAGCTTTTCGCCTACATCAACCTGGTTTATTTCATGAGGCATGCCGGATTATTCAATAATACGACCGCTGATAAAGAGGCTAACTGAGTCGTCTAGCATCCTCTTTCTTCATCGCGACCGGGTGCTATCGAGCTTGAAACTTCTGCATGGCCCGAATCATGATCCGCGAGTCGCAACAAACTTGGAAGAATCCACCTGGTGCGAGGCCGCGATTGAAGAGCTGTTTGAAGCGGCCCAGAACATCGGTGGAATCCTGTCAGCCCTCGAAGCGTCCGGTGCGTCAGTAATCACTCCATACGCAGGATTTAGTGTCTTTGTTGCCGCTCATATCAATATGTATGGCACTGTGTCGCCACGAGGTTACCCAGGGGGCCAAGAACGGGCTGAGCGGGAGAAAAGAGGGAACTTCGCATATCTGGAAAGACTTTGTGACTTCTGGCCAGTTGGCCATAGCTGGGTATATTTATGTCAGCTCTCTCGTATCCTTAATAAACTGACCGTTAATAGTGGCGGACTGTGCAAGAGGCCAACAAATTTTACGAAACTGCAAAGAGTAACCACGAGCACACAGCTTCCGGCGACCGCCCGGGCCACCTTACTCTAGCCAGCACACTGGACGAGTACGGTGATATTCGCTGTTCACGCCCGCGCCATGATGTATCTATAACGCGTAAGCGAGATGTAGCAGGGAGGGATGCCGCCGTGCCGCAAAATCATGGACCAACAGGTTGTCCAGCCCATGCGAGCATCACCTTTAACGATCAGGTCATGCTGGATCCACATGAGCTCGAGACGGAAATGATGCAATGGCCGTTTATTGATGAAACGTGGTCGTCCGGGTTTGATACTGGATTTGATGCTGCATGGCCGAACCCGGGCTAGCTGATAAAAGGTCAAAGCTGCAGTTAGTCGCAGACCTGAGTCAAGGACGACCGGCGTCTGCTTTGTGGAAACAACTGTATTATGTCACCTTGTGCCCAGGATGGTTCCCGATTCACCATGAGTGTGAAACAGGCCTTGGATTAGCACCTTTAATATCACGGATTCCGGATGTGAGGGACAAGAGTTGTGACAGAAAAAGCAAGTTCCAAGGCTGCAGACCCTTTGCAGGGGTCTGGTGGGTCATTGACAGCAGTGAGGAACTAAACGTGCATAATCAACAGGGATGTTTATTCTAGGCCCATGCACCTAGTGAGTGGCGTGTGACGCCGGCGAGCCAGAGGTGACGCTCTTTATCAAATACCCAGTACAGCTAGATTTTCCAACTCTGGTACGGAGACAATAAAATGCCACGTCAATTAAGATAGGTGCATATCATCATAACCAGCTAGACACACTAGTTGCGGCCTCGGTCTCTCCCAACTGCCATGAACATGTCAGTGGGAGAGCAATACTACATGTCTAGGCCAACTCCGCCTCAATAATTCCTTGTCCATCTCCCTCACGGGCCCAGAACTTAGTTACTTTCAGACCGGCAGATTCCAATAAGTTTGTGAATCGCTGGCGCGTGCGCTCCAGTCCGGAGCAGAATACCATCACTGCAAGATCGGTCATTGCCTCGAGTGCTCGCGCGTTCTCATCCGGGATAATATACTCCTCCAGAAGCACCTTTGAGTAGCCGCGTTCCATGGCAGGAGCGAGATTCTTGATGATGAGACGTGCCTTATCGTCCGTCCAGTCGTGGAAGATGTTTCGGAAATAGTAGACACGGGCACCTTCCATCGACTTTCGTCAGTGACCACATGGTATTTGGGAATGGGCACACATTTACCTTTGATCGGCTGTTCTTGAGCGAAGAAATCATATCCAATAGCGTCAATGCCGCTGCCGTCAAGATCGAGTGCGGACCGTGCCTCCTCAATCACCACGGGCAGATCCTCTAGTATCAACTTACCAGGTGCGTCAGGGAACCGTTGCTTGAAGCCGAGCAAGCCATGTCCGCGACCACCCCCGATATCCACTAGGAGGGGTCCATCTGAGTCTTTGTGAGCACTAGCTAGGATCCGATCGGGGATAGGAAACCAGTCCGCCCAGTGAGGACGATCAGCACGCTGTCCTTCCATGAAAGCATTGAAACGGGTGAGGGCGGCGGGTTTCTCGCAGAGCCAGGCAAAGCTATCCTGCTGGAAGTTGTGCGCGAATTGAAGCGGAGCAAATAAGGGGTCATCGGGATTCTTGTATCCGATGACTTGGAGGTACTCGGGAACTTTCTGGATTCCAGGAAGGAATTCGAGGAAGCTTTTATTCTGTTAATTAGTAATGCTCAAGTCGAAGAGATACAGGGGGTTGGTGATACATACAGGGACTCAACGATACCAGTTGATGTCCGCTGGGTCATTTCCTTGCAGAGGGCCGTAGGGAGGTATTCACATGGTTTTGGCTCCTCGGCGAAACCTTGGGCTACCAGGAGACGCATCATACGCTCTATTGAAATAGTCAGCCTTAGTCAACATAATTGTTCTTTATGTGAACCGTGGAGTAAACTAACCAACCAACAAAGGGTCTGCGGGCTTCAAGGCCGCAAGCTCGTTCAGGGGCACGGGAGATGTGGCTTTAGCCAATGTTGGGAACACCTTCAAGTTATGGGCCACCTTGACGGCCATGACAACTGTTGGCTGATTGAATGGACATAATTAGGTTTACTGCTAAAAGGCAATCCTAGATTGAGGGAAACCTACCGAGTAGGCAATTTTCAAGATCTCATCGCGAGGCTTTTCCAATGCGCGGGCCAACTTGAGCGCCGTCTCCGCAACCCGAGAAGTCTCCCTGGCGTTGGACAGATAAGCGTTCAGCGATACTTGAACATCTATCAGGAGCTCCTTGATTGTGTCGGTATCCATGATGTTCCTCTGTAGTCAATATTCGGATTCTCGCAGGGGCAAAATTGGAGACCAACGACGGCTGCAAGACCTCTATTCATATGATAAATACGGAGGGCTGTAATGACTTACTATCTAACCTATGGCTATGCTATCATATACTATATGCATGTGGTGTCCCACCTGCCTGGTTGACAGTCTGATACTCCGTAGTTGGCGTTGAACAGTCGTCTCACGCGGTGCATGACAACGTCGAGTCCCACAGACTTCTAACGTTCATAGCATGCACCGGCTTGTTGGTCAACCCACGTATGGGGTGAACGGCTCGCGATATGACCCACGCGATAAACCCTGGAAGAGTTGATTGCAGGTTTTATTGTATTCAGTGGTTCTGTCATGACTCCGCGCTATACAATGTCTCCCAAGCTTCACCGAGACCCTGTCCTGACTGCTTGTCTGTGATTAGAATTGCTGACATCTATCCACGGCACTCAGGGGAATTTCAAATTTCAAAGCATCTAGAAGCCTTGCACATTTGATGGCCCTTTGACCGAAGTAATTGCCTGGCGAATAGGCCCAAGGAAGTGGCATTCTGCAACCGGCGGACCTCGGATCGCCCACGGGAAGTCAGTCGTCGCCACGTCCACGATGGAGCCATCTTAGGGTCTCAAGATTTGTGGACCAGGACGGGATCCACGGGCGGATTACAAAGGGCAGCAGCCTATATATATATCAACCCTGTCTATAGTGGGACTTGATAAGGACGACACGGGCACACGACGTCTCAATCAGATCAGGATTCTCACCCCTTGGCTCCCAACTGGTTGGCTGGTCCAGGGAACGTTTGTCAAGGTTATTGATACTATCGACTGGTTCGTGCCCTAGCATGATCTACCAAGACTATTGGCCGCTAAGTAAACCGAAGCACCATGGCCAATGCCCGATATTACTCACTATTATAGCATGCTAGCAACTACTCGGGCTTCTCCCGGGACCATTTCGGCCACCGTACTATATCGGCCTCAACTAATGCTCCGGCGAATCGCCAAGGAAAGACAGACCAACTTCCGATACGAAATGGACCTGTATGACCGGCCGCCTTGTGGATCTGGTTTCTCTGCTAATGTAGTAATAGTGATGTGGGTATAGGGTCTCCACCAAGACTCCGACCCGGAATTGTCCTATGGCAGCTCGGCGATGGAACCAATAATCCGAGTCTATTATACATTGATCTCGTGTTGGTGAGAGAGAAGTAGACTTCCAAGACTATTCAGAACGTGCTACCCAGATGCCATAATATGTGAAACGAATTATGGTGATCTTTCCAAGGAGAGCACCGCTGCCCGAACTCCAGGTGTATGCGATGACAGATGATGACGAGGATTTGTATCCTTTCTCACTCTAGTGATTCCAAATCGAAGTCCCCCACCTGACCCCGGTCGCTTGAACTACCCTTCTCGTGTAAAGAAGGGCGGCGCTGCATGATTGACACTTCGGTCGTTCCATATGTTCTGGATTAAGTTTCGGCGCACGGCAAACTTGCGGATTGACCTCACGTTGGTACAATTTTCATGGCACGTCGAACAATGGGAGAGCCCTTTTGAGGAGCCTAGGGCTCCGATTTCTTCGGAATATTACTCTTGAATCCCTACTTTTGTAACTCTAGCGCACTAACCCACAGCTACCATTCGGCAAGCTCAAGATAGCTAGACACGGGAAATTCGATAGTCTCAGCCACTACATTGAAGAGGATAGGGGTGTAAGTACTGGCCTGTGATCGCTTCGTGATCTATCTCATCTCTTTCTGAGTTTCTCTTCTATGGATGTCTTTATTTTCCTACTTCGGTACTCAACGCTATTGAAGGGTAATTTGGTTATGCCGCCCATATAGACCGGCCCTGGGCTCCCCAATTGCCGGTAAACCACGGAGTGAACTCCACGATCGCACCGTATCTGCACTACTTTTTCGTTGGCACGAGAGGAAAGACCTTGAATATGGCCTACAATGTAGTGGCAGAGCTCTTCGCTGAATGGGCCATCGGCATGGTGGTCATAGCAGTTCGGTTGTACACTCGGTGGTCTATCGGCAAGAAAAGCTTTTACTGGGATGACGGTTGCCTGGTTCTCGCGATGGTAGGCTGGACTTTTGTCACTCATGAACGATCGATGCTAATGCTTCATCAGATATGCTGGACTATATTTACTGTGACTTTGTACTACTGTACCCGTACGTACCTTGTCTCTCGTTAGCATGACAGATGTCTTTAACCGTGGACCAGAGGTGTATGGGTCTAATATCGGCCTTAACGAGAAGACAGCGGAGTTGATTCCGGACGAGAAGGTGTCGGATATCAGAAAAGGTTCAATATGTGCATTCATTGCCTGGGTTACCTACATCTGCATGGTGTGGGCCTTCAAGGGCGTGCTCGTCTTTCTCTACAACCGGCTCACGTATGTTGCACTGTGGAATAGCCTCAACTAAGTGATAATGCTTACAACACCAGGATGGGACTTGCGCAACATCGATTGACAAGGATAGTGGGGATCATTACAGTCGGCACGTTTCTCATATCAATTTTCTTTCACCTGTTCGACTGCATGCCGATACACAAGAACTGGCAGGTTAAACCATATGCTGGAGGTAAGTTAGCCTGCTTACACGGAATCAAGCATTGCGTCCAGCTGATGATGCCATAGACAAATGTACATTACGCCCATTGAACTATATCCTCATTGAGGCTATCAGTGTTGTGTATGTCATCATCCTCCCTTGGACATCCCCATTCCTCACAAACCAGAAACCATTAATTCCTTCTTTGTAGGAATGATCTGGCAATCATGTGTGTCCCGATCCCACTCATTCTGCATGCCCAAATCCCCTTCTCCCAGAAGATTGTTCTCGTCGCTCTATTCTCCTCCGGTATATTCGTCATGATCTGCGCTGTTCTTCGTGCCTATCTGTCCGTTCGAGACATCAATCACCTTTCCACCGCACTCGGCTGGGCATCGCGTGAAGGATTCGTATCAGCATTCATCGTCTGCGCACCAGGAATCAAGCCACTCTTTACGCGAATCGGATGGTTCAAGTCGTACGGTTCCTCGAATAATAATGGCAACAACTATGCCTCGACCCACAAATCACGGACATCGAGATTCTCCCATCAAAGCCAAGAGTTTAACACACTCATTTCTACAAGCGAGGCTCACCCGTACGAGATGTCCTCCAGGGCCTGGGTTGGCCGAAGACAGGATTCAACCGGTGAAAGCCAGGAGCATATTATTGAAGCTATGCCACATAAGCCTGGCGACAGTCCTGAACATGGAATCGTGGTGACAACGAATGTTACGCTGGCTCATGAGGTCTGCCCTCCGCGGATGCAATCGCCTGAACCGCGAAAAGCGTGATGGCCATCGTTTGCTGGGTATAAATGCTGATTTGGAAACGTTCCTTTCTTTTATACTTCTTCTATACTTATATTTCTTTAATATTCATTGGTCGGTAATGGCTATCTGTTAGTGCTTCTATGAGAAGCCATGATACACTCTTCGCAATTGGGTGGGATACATGTATACTACAAGTCTCGGAATACTATCCAGGGGGTATGTGATGAGCCGAGATGCAACTACTGTGGGAGAGTATGTTGTCGGCGCGTTTTAAGCGATTGAATTCATAAACACGTTAACATTGAAAGTTCTTGGTGTGTAACCATCACTACGAAGGATATCACAGACCAGCCATAATATCACAAACTATCACTCCGCTCGCTGCGCCGCGCCGCACTGACGTTCCACGTCCGAGTCTCCCGGATCATTCCTGCTTGACTCGACTGACTATCAGCATCCCATGCGCGCGACGCTGAGATTGTGGTCATGTTCCCCTGACCGGATCCGATGGGGACGAGCTCATGATGGCTGTGCGAGTGTGAGTGGGTCGGATCCGTGTGCCGCGACTGATCGTCCTGGCCCTCGGACCGGGGATTGGACGCTTTGGCGGACGTGTGCTGATACTCCACACCCTGGATGCGCAGGCCGTTTGACTTGAGCTGATTCAGGAACGGTTTTAGCTGACCCCAGCAGGCGGTGACGATACTGGCGCACTGGACCGTCTCGACGGCAATGGCCACCCCGTAGTCGTCAAAGCTTCGATCGGGGGAGTTGGCGACGTCGTGGATCAAGACGAGCTGGGCAATGGATGGGAGAATGACCCTTTCGACAGACGGGGCGGGATTAGCAACGGTGACCAATTGTCACTATGCCGGAAGTGGAGTCACTCACAAAATACGGGACAGGAAGATCGTGGCAAACACTATCTTTTTCTTGACCGACGCTTGGATGCGACTGATCAACACCAGCGCCTGGACGATGATGAAGATATCGGTCACGATATTGGAGGCGCAGAAGTAGTACTGCCATGCGTTCTATCCGCCAGCGTCAGTAGGTGTCTCGACTGGCGTACCATGTCGGGGAAGGCATACAAGATCAATGCATGAACCGCTAGTATCCCAGGGTCGCGAGGCCTGGCACTGGAAGGCATTGCCAAAGAGCGCGACAACCGCCCAGACGGTCAAGAGAACTTGCATGATGGTGGCATGAAAATGGTCTCTCGAGACCGGGGTCAGGTTCCGGATAAACACCGACAACGATAGTTTCGAAAAATAAAGACTCAGGGTAAACACCAAGAATCCTGCGTATTGTGCCTGTTTGACAGACCAGATGCAATCAGTTATGGCTCTTCCTCCACCCGCTGGCGAATGCGACCGATTCCGGTCTAAAGCACACCTTCTGAATTGCTTCCCAATGCAAACCATCAATGTCCCCGACGTGATCGCCATAGCCGTTGTGCACGGCGATGGACATACTGATCGATCCCCCCATGGCGAATAGCTATCTCACGCAGCGAGAATGTGTTAGCTCGATGCCGTGGCCGGCCAACAGCAAGTCCGTCAGACGTACTAGTGATACTATAATCAAGTAATCGTCGCTGGTGAAGCGATGGAACATCCATAGTTTCGTTCCCAGCCTTGTGAGGACGCTCAGGACGGCGACCACGAGGAGAAACCAGTTGACTACATTGAGAATGGGGGCTCTGCGATCTGGATCATGGAGGAAGCGACCCATGGATGCGATTCCAGACGATCTGGAGACCTCAAAAGTGTCGTCAAGGGCGGGTGGATCACATTGACCGAGGGGTGATTACTGTGGGAGGGTGAGCGTCGCTGGATTACTTGTATCTGTGGTTTTGCGCATCCGCCACAGTGTGATTGCCCTCAGGCGCATAATCCTTCACTTCCCCCGTCCGCCGAGAAAAAAGCATTATGGGTCGGTGAGATTTTGGGGTCATATCATTGATTGCTAGGCCGCAGTGTGCAGCAGGGGTGATATTTGACGGCAGACATTCGGTGATTAGGTGGTTGTGTCGATATTGGCTTCTGAGTAAGAAAGTGATAGAGTTTGATGGGCTGGGGATGGTTTCACCGT